AGTACCGTGAGAGGTAGCCCCTATGAACCACTTCCATTTCCTATCCTTTTTAGAGAAAATGCGCGAAGCTCTTAGATTTGGTTTCGGTATTGAATGTGAAGGAAACTTCTTTTCAGTAAAAACAAAAATTATGAAAGTTTTATCGAAAACAATAAGTTTTGAAATTATTCATATTGAAACCAAGCTCTTCTTTGGAAGTTACAAATTTGCGATAAAACTGTTAATCTTCCCGAAATCCTTCAATTTCTCTCCCCTCCTCCTCATAAAAAGAAGTTTATGGATTGCTATTAGCCAATGGGATCAAAGGAAGTCCAGCTAAATCTGTTTGGTAACTAACTGGTGTGTCGGAATTTTCAAATCGGAAAGCAGCAGAACTTAAAAGAAGAATTGAAAAAATAATTTGAAAAATAAAAACTCTGAAAAAATCGAAGTGGCTTGTTATGTAGTCGACACATCCGGTTGTTAGTCGCGGTGATGTTGCCTGAGATGATTATGTTTGCCCGCCCCAGTACCGCAATCCCGTATCAATATCTTCGAATTAGTCTAATAGATAACAACACGTATATGTGATCCTTGGAAGTCTGGCTTACGATGTAACGTAGAAAAATCTAACAGTCGATGTAGTGTGTTATTTCTGAAGGTCACCTTGTTTTTTACATTTTTTGCGAGGTGAGACAGCTGAGTGACTTTGAAAACTGCCATTTTGTTCAGTGAGCTATAATTTTCGAAATCAAGCTACTAATCAGTGCTTGATTCAGTGCTGTTACAGCTTGAAATGACACATTCGCCATTCCAGCACCTGATTTTTGATCTGATATTAATAATGAATTATGCAGTAGATTTGCGATGCGCTCACTAATCATTCTTAAAGAACTGTTCTAAATGCTTGTAATAATGTTTCGTCCTTGGTGTCATGAAGCTTGTTCCAAATCAATAGGCTGCGTTCAATTTTGAATCTATTTGTGCAAGACCACGTCCAACTTCTCGAATGTTTGCATGCAACGAACTGAATTTAAGATTGTTCTTATCAATGCGGGTTGTGATCTGTGCGAAAATATGAATTACACTACTTTTGCGGGCGCTGTCCACCAAGTCGAGGTTGATGACTTGTTCAGGAGTCCAGTCTCGGGGTCATTACTTTTATATTGCCCGAGTGGGCGTGGCTACCCCAGCAGCATCCGATTTTGGAGCGATTTTCCCGCTTTGAAAAGCACTTTTTGCAGCGGAGCTTAGGCAGTCGCTAAGGGAATCACAATTGTACTGCAACCTCATTAACCTCGGAATTGGGTGGGCGTGCTTTCAAGGTGAACCGCCGGGAATTGGTAGGTGGTGCCGACTCCTTTTCTCAACAGAAACAAGTACACGCTGCGTTACTTTTGGATTTCTCGTTTGGCGAGCATATTAGCCTGGCAAGGATGGCTTGAAAAGTCAAAATGACCTCATCGCTTGGAATTCTGTCGCGAGGTACCCGCTCGTTGCGGACATAGCCGCACGCTTGAGGGAAACTGCAATTGAGACAGGCTGTAGCTTTGAACACCTTATTACCCCACCTCCCTCACAATGGTCGGTCGCCTCATCGTGGCGTGGGGGTGACACTGGGTGTCGAACTGCGATGCACAGCCGAGTGTATACTCTGGTAGGGCCTCCCAAGCTGTGAAGGAGTTCGACGTTTCCGGTTTCGGCCGGATGCCTAGCTAAGAACTGGCCGCGCCAGATTCTCCGCCGTCTGGCTTCTTCTGGTCGCTAGGCGGTCCCTCCCCGCTCCAAGCCCGGGGTCAGCGATCACCCCGTGGAAATCAAGAGTAGGCCTAGTAAGCCACCTCTTGTAGGGGAACAAATTTTATTACTCAGACAGCAAGAAGATTTAGAAAAAACCCTGTACATCGGATCCCGCCTACGGCGCCGGGTGGTAGCAAGAACGATGTCAGGGTACTCAGGGCGCCTTTCGGATTGGACAAAAACGACACGTCTGCCCGGACGACACGCCATGGAGACTGCCTCATGCTCTGCACTTACAACGCCAGGACAGTCTCCACAAACGCCGACCTCCACGCTCTTCTCGACGCTGCAGAGCACATCAACTACCACATCATTGCTCTGCAGGAAACGAAGTCCAGGAAGAAGGACGTGCGACAGATGAGTGATGGGACCCTCATCATTCGTGGTGAAAAGGTTCCATCACGAAACGTGGGAGGCGTCGGCTTTGTCGTCCACCCATCTATCGTCCATCTTGTCGATTCGCACGAGATCCTATCACCTCGACTAGGCATCCTACGACTACGACCTCCACATCAGAAGACCATCAGCATCATCAACTGCTACTCTCCAACATCAGCAGCTGACGAATCAGAACTAGATGCTTTCTACGAAGATGTGGAGGAGGTCGTCCGCAACGAGAAGTCCTTTTACAAGTTTGTTGTGGGCGACTTCAACGCGAAAATCGGGATGCCATTGGAAAGGGAATATAGGATCGGGAAGTTTGGATATGGGCTCCGGAACGAAAACGGCAACCGTCTTGTTGGGCTTCTCTCCGCCGCACGACTTTTCCATGGAAATTCCATCTTTATGAAGAAGGAACATCGCCGGTGGACATGGGAATCGCCCAACGGAACGACCCACGCGGAGATCGACCACATTCTCACCAACCGAAGGTGGAGCTTACTCGATGTCTCTGTAGTTCCATCCTTCTGTAGTGGCTCCGATCACCGCCTCCTTCGAGCGAAGATACGACTCAGCCGAAGGCTGGAAAAGAAAGTCTGTCATAGTGCCGCGAGAAGGAAGGAAGTCGTTTATGACGGTAACAGGCTGGAAGAGCTCATATCAAGTTGTGGCTGGCCCATCGAGGAGGACCCAACGTACGACTACGACCGGCTTCTGAAAGGATTGCGAGCCTGCGGAGAATGCGCCTCAGTGACTTCTGAGAAGAACTTGGACCGCATCTCGAAGACCACCAAGGAATTGCTCGAAAGAAGAAGATCATTGAGGCAGGATCCGAATGCAACTCATCTCGAGCGACTGATTGCCAACACCAGTTGCAGAACAGCTTTGCAAGAGGATCTCAGGAAGTACAGGCAAGCCAAGATACTGGAAGCAGCAGAAGGAAGACGAAGTCTCAAGAAGTGCCGAAGGGACCTCTGCGAATATCACGTACCGCTGGCTGCACTACTGAACGAAGACGGGACTCCGACTTCTTCCCGATACAAGATGGAATCTATCGCGAAGAACTTCTACACCAACCTCTTCCGCTCATCAACACCCGTGCAGATGCCCGTTGTTCCCACTGGAGAAGTACCACCACGAATTCTACCTGCTGAAGTGCGTATCGCGATACAGACCATGAAGACGTCCACGGCTCCAGGACCAGATCATCTTTCCGTCGAACTTCTGCGAGCCGGAGGACACCGTCTACACGAGATTCTAGCGTCGCATTTGACATCTTACCTTCAGAAGGAGAAGATTCCCGACCAGTGGAGAACGTCAAGAACCGTCCTTCTCTTCAAGAAAGGTGAACGGGAGGATCTTCGGAACTATCGTCCAATATGCTTGCTGAGTGTGCTGTACAAGCTTTTCACGAAGATTATCCTCGCTCGCATATCAAGGACACTGGATGAAGCCCAACCCCAAGAACAAGCTGGATTTCGCAAAGGATTCAGCTGCATGGACCACATCCAGACCGTTTCGAGGGTCATAGAATTCTGCCGGGAGTACCGACTGCCTCTCGTCCTAACCTTTGTCGACTACGAGAAAGCCTTCGACAGCGTCGAAACCAACGCCATCCTGTCTGCGCTAGTCGATCAAGGAGTGGACCCAGCTTACGTGAGGACGTTAGCCGACTGCTACAAGGACTGTACAACGACGATGCAGCTATTCCATCGCCCCCTGACCATACCAATCGGGAAGGGGGTCCGACAAGGCGACACAATCTCGCCGAAGCTGTTCACCGCGGCCTTGCAGTGGGTGATGAAGTCACTGGACTGGGACGAGAGAGGCATACGAGTTGATGGGAGATTCCTGTCCAACCTTCGTTTTGCGGACGACATCGTTCTCTTCTCGAGCAGTATCACCGAAGCAGAGACGATGCTGAAGGAACTAAACGAAGTAGGGAAGAAGATCGGACTGCGAATAAATCGGAAGAAGACTCAGTTCATGAAGAACGCCCTTTGCGAAGATGCAGAAATGGAATTGGAAGGCACCCCGATTATGGAGACGTCTTCCTACGTGTATCTGGGACGTTTGATGAACATGGAGAACGACTTGAGGGAAGAACTTAACAGGAGAAGAAGAGCAGCCTGGGCCGCCTTCGGGCCCCTGAAGGAAGCCACCGACCAACTGACGGACCCGGAGCTTCGTGCCCACCTGTTCGACTCAACCGTTCTCCCGGCGCTCTGTTACGCAGCTGAGACTTGGGCCGACACTGTAGCCACGTCGAAAGCTTTACGGACCACCCACAGAGCGCTCGAGCGCAGTCTTCTGAAGATGACCCGACGCAAGCAACATCTAGTCGGACTTCGCAGCACGGATATGAGAAGAATGTCCCGTCTTCGTGACCCAGCGGAATACGTCGCGAAAGCCAAACACCGATGGGCCGGTCACATAATGAGAAGAACAGACGACAGATGGTCACTAAGAACATCGGAGTGGATTCCTCGCGAAGCCAAACGTCCCCGAGGAAGACCTCCAACGAGATGGGCAGACGTGTTCGTGGAACGGATGGACCAGCTGAGAAATCAGCTGGATACGATTTCTGCACCTGGAACTCGTGGACGCAGCCACCGACGTCAGCCAAGAAGATCGTGGATGTCAGAAGCGAGGGACAGGGAAAAATGGAAACTTCTGAGCTGGGGCCCGCACGTCACGTGAAGCCGGGCCATCTAAGTATCTAAGTATCTAAGTATTACCCCACCTCCCTTAGAATTGATGTGATTTTGATTCTGCAAACTATTGTACAACAGATTTGAACTATCACTCAAATGACAAATCAGTCACTTCTTCCTTTACAGCCCAATTCTTGCTGGCATTGTTCTGCGTATTTTGTGCTTCATCTACGGCCGACCATTTCTTCTCAAACGAGCCGAGCTCACGTCACCTTTGGTTTCCTACGGAAGATTGCAAGATGGGGTTGCCATGTACAAAGATGGGATTTCTCCATATGAAGGGGATTTATTTCATTTTGTGAGTGAGATGTTGTATAGCTCGAGATTCTAGATTCAAGCCTTGTTTTCCAGCAACCACTCCTGTTGCGATTATTCTCACTTGTATCGCTCAGTGAGAACAGTGCTTTTGCCATATTTGTGGCAGTAGACTGTCTAACTGGGCTGCTCTTGTCTCGAAGTGCTGGACGTTATGCGAGAGATAATCATAGCGCACATCCTGATTATGTCGAAAGGCTTGTCTTGAAATGGTGAGTACTGTAACAGATGCGTAACAACTCCGAGTTGTTACGCAGTTAGTTCTTTGGTTTTGGCGTGCAATTCATTAATTTATGATCTGCGTTTTTCGAAGGAAGTCTAATAAGTGTCCATTTTTCTTTTTTTTTTAGCTTTTCATCTCTTTCGTGGTGCAAAGATTTACAAACTGCAAACACCTTCATCAGTAGGCTTCAATATACCTTGTTTCCAGCTACCTGCTCAATCCGATCACAATCGGAAGCTCAGCTATTCTCAGCATTTCAGTGCTTCACAATCTCATATCTGCTGCAGTTGTTTATTTTTTCAGTAAAGGTAAGTTAATAGATACCTTTAAGCAGTGTTCAAACAAAGGGTACCTGGGCCTCTTGTGTGGGTAACGATAGGGAAGGATTACTAAGCCTCTCAAATGTCAATAGAATTCATTCTTGGCTGAGCGTGTTCACTTTGCTCGCCCGTTACCGTACTCAATGACGTTCTCTGCTCGCTCGAAAAAGGTATGGTACTGGGCGAGAGTTAGGAGTTGAAGTACTACCCGTTCGGGCAATGATTTGACTTGGTTAAAGCCTTCCAAACAGCTATCCAAGAAACCCATATATCCGGATCGGTCTGGGCTGTGCCTTCGATTCTCAACTGCCACTATTTGAAAAAAGCAAAAATTCAGGACTGCTGTTGCCATGTGTGGCTTTTCTTTCCCTATCGTCGAGCCTTTCGCTATATCCGGTTGTGATCCTTGCTTCGGTACTTTTACGCTTTCCTTCCTTGCAAGAGCGCATAAACGCTGTGCTGGGACTAATTATTGGATTCTGTGTCTTCACTGGGTTAAACTGGCTACTTAATGGTATGAAATGGAATTTTATCGAGGATACATATGGATTTATGTGAGTTGGTCTTGATTATGACGGAGATCAAGACATCACCCAGTGATTTCAGCCTCAAAGTTGATGATCTGACGCCTAATGTCGGCCTAGTGTGGTATTTTTTCACGCAAGTGTTCGAACATTTTCGGACATTCTATTTGGCTGTGTTTCAAATCAATCTACTTGTTTATGTAGTTCCACTTTTGCTTAGCTTGAGGTAAAAATTGTACTTTTTGATGTTTATTGTAATTTTTTGAAATTTTTAGAAACGATGCACATCTGCACTTGGTTGTGAGTCTGTTGCTCGTGGCGGTGTTCTCATCATATCCAACATTGAATGATGCATCGGTCTATTTGGCTCTGTTACCGATGCTAGAGAAGTACCATAAATGTAAGTAATGGATAGTACTAATTTCATTTATTAGGTTGTCCCAAAAGTAAACCGTATCTCTAAATGAATCAAACCGTTCTTATTTTTCTAGTAGACTTAGGGTATTATTCGATAGAGCGAAGCAAGCTCTACAAAATGACCGCAAAAGATCCGCCTATGTCGTAATCCAGATAGAGTTTGGAGCAAAAATTGGAAAAAAATTTATTACCCGAAACCTGGATTTTTGCGAATATTTATCATACGGAGCTCAAACTTGGTCATTATGCAGTAGACATATAGTAGTACTTAAATATGCCTTTATCGGATTTTTTCCTAGCTCAGAAAGCGAGAAGGAGATAGTCTGTAAATGGCAACTCCGCCCCCGCCCCTCTCACATATGTCATTGTATACTACAAGCCTTACTAAGCATAAGATTGAAAGTTTATTCCTGTATGTGTATGTCGTCTTACAATGGCGAAATACCAAGTTTTACATGAAAAACCCGAAAAAAGTGGCATTTTGGCATTCTCAGACCGTCTTTTTTTTTCTTAATTTTGAGCTTCGAAAAAAAATCAACCAAAAATATTTTTGGGTTTTACTATGTGTCTATCATATAAGGACCAAGTTGGAAGTCCGTAGGAATTTTCTGGAAGGAGACTCGATTTTTAGGGTAGCTGAAAATTTTTGATTTTTGGATCCTAATTTTTCTTGGATAACGACAGACGATAGGCAGCTATTTTGTAGGGCTTCCTTTCTCTATCGAATGGTACCCCACGTCTGCCAGGAAAACAAATAAGGTTTGACTTATTCAGAAATACGGTTTACTTTTGGGACAACCTAATACAAACTCTTTGCGCACATCTTCGGTTAACTTTCAAGAAAAATTGTGGACGTTACTGTCATCATTTATACAAAGACGAAATTTTATCATGCCTAGATTATCGAGCTTTGAATTTAAAAATAAAACCTCCATTTTCGATTCTTCGATATTGATTTATGCAAGTACTGAATAATCAAAGTTTACACTTGATCTTGAGCTATCTACTATTTGTTTCCCTATTAATCCGATTTTTTGAAATCTCATTACATCGGTTTTAGCTCCGAATGCAACTGCACATATATCGAACTATAGGTCTCATTTGTTCGGAGTTTCAATTTAGGATTTTTTTCTGCCGATTAGTATTCAACGTGTACATAAGTCCTTTCCTCCGTGTTCTTAAGTAATCAAATACTCAGAAAGTGTTTTTGTGGACTAATCGATGAATGCATATCCTCAAAGACTCAATTATTCAAATTTTTTTCAAAATCAAATATACGAATACCAACGACCGTCCTAAGAAAGCTTTATTTGGGGAAGGCTGACTAGATTTACGCAATGAGTAGCGTTAGTCAGTTCCTTCGAGAAAATACATTTCGGGAAGTTTTTCGAATCTCTAGCGAGCTGAAAATCTTGAAATGTTAAAAGCCTGGCCAACGGGAGCTTTTTGACACAATGAGGGCTGAAATAATTCTGAAATAATAGTAGCTTGAAATTACTACCAATATACCACTTGATTTCCATTCGCATTTGAGTGCTCCTGTTCCAGATCCACGCTATACTCTTGTGGTTTGTGGTGCGATTGTAACCTGTGTTGTGTTGATGCCGGTTATGTGGCACATGTGGATTGTAGCCGGATCTGGCAATGCTAACTTCTACTTTGCTGTTACATTGATATACAATGTTGCACAGGTTTGAGATTTGAATGGAGCTTGTTTCAGTTCTCATCAAAGATTCGGTACATTGGTAACTTTTTAGATCTACTTAATGATTGACTTAATGTTCGCTTACTTCCGAAAAGAAGCAGATGAGATCTCAGCGTCATTGGTGACACCAAAGACCAATTTTGTACTTCATTAAACTGTGATTTTCATGTTGCAATTAGCTTTATGGTAATTACCATTCTATAAATTGATTTTGTGATAAATCGTTTGTAAATTTTATTTACAAGTTTGTGATTATGGTGTAGACACTTGCTTGACAATGGGTTTTGGTCGGTTCCGAAACACTATCCTACGCTTTATGATAGCATCAATAGTCATCGACCGTTCGTTAGCGTGTGGGTCTTCACCAGAGGTTGATCTGACAACCAGGAATGGTTTTTCCAGTTCAGAAAGCTGAATTGCAAAGAGAACGTAAGGTATAGGGTAAAAACGAGGCAAAACGGTAATCTACCTTCCCTTCAAGCAAATGATGCCCAACTAGAAGCAGTGCCTCGCTATCGTCTCGACGCCAGCAAAGAGTGCCTGCAATTTACAGTATGGTTTGCTATTTGCATCGCCTTTGACGTTATTCTTTGAGTTAAGGTTATACCACAGCCGCAAAAGTAGGACTGTGGAGATACTGTCTAAAGGATATTCGTCGACGACTGTTTCGACTCGTGCAATTACACCACCTTGGGTGTAAATGCAGTAATTGGGGCAGTCGTCGACGAACATCCTTTAGTTAATCTGATGGTGGGTATAGTGCCCCTAGCGCACTGAATCCAACGTCAGATTTATTGACATACTTTCGACAACGTTTGCTCACCAAACAGTTCTAGAACGCAGAACTTGACAATGTGTTTTTTATAGATTTGTATGCAAAGGATGTAGAATCACAGGCATGCGGTAAAAAGCAGCAGGTAATGTCGTCACCGCAGGGGCACCATATAATCTCAGACTACTGCATATACCTAATATTTTGCAGGGACGCCTACTGCAAATCATTACGATGGCGATGCGTAGTCGACGGAAAAGTTCTCATAAGTAAAGTAAAGTGAGTAGTTTGTGATTAGCAGTGTCCCTGCGATCACGACATCGGCATGGAAGAAAAATCAAAGTTTGTAGTCCAAAAGTTTATCGCGTTGTCTTAGGCGTCTCTAACAAGGGAAGTTCGCGTAGTCAAAATGGCGATTCGGAAAATGATCTATATTAATGGATAGAGCTTAAAACGCTGATCTCAGAAATGCTTTCTATATCTGCGATGCATTTTCCTAAAAAAGTTATGAGTTTTTCTGATGCCAAATTTTCGTGCATTTTGAGCCGCAAAATGATGATAATTTCTATACAAAAGTGTGCAAGCTTAAGCAAACCACCTAGAAAGCATTATAGGTCTAATTTGAGTTTGTCCGAACGTTTAGTGTTTCCCGACCATGTGTCGTCATCTCCTTTCTAGATCATACTTCCATTAGATATACAAAAAAGGCCATAACTATCTAGAAAAGCGCGTCGCAGATATTGAAGGTATATTTGAGTACAGCGTTTTCCGCTCTATCCATTGGTGTACATCACCTTCCGAATCGTCACTTCGACCCACGAACTTCCTTGTAAGAAACTAACGTGTAAAAAAACCCAGCCATTACAATCTGTCTCAATTGCGGTGCTTGGCTTGGTCAGTTCGGCCTTGTCTGACAGCCGCTGCGCATGCGTAGCCGCACGCAAAAGGGACACTGCATTCAAGATAGACTAATTTTCACGCAATAAAGGAGTTGGAACTGGGATTATGTATGATACCGCTCGACAGCTCAAACGATATAAAACAAAACCATCGGCTATCAAACGGAGATCTCACCTAAAACTTCATCAGAAAGCGGTTTGCCACCATTCTCAACTGTGCCTTGCATCTCTATCAGCATCCATTCGTCGACACCTTCTCTGGAAAATCACGGAATATATCAAAAAACAAACTGAGACTAAAATAACGTAGTTGCTGTCTCAGTGGAACTGTCTTTGCAACTGCGCAAAAACTTTGCGGGATATTGCGCTGCGCAGTGGATGCCTCTAAATCGTCATTGTGAGCACATGGTTATCAAAATGTCTCACGGCATCATAGATGAACAAACTTATTTCTACCTAAAATACTAAACCCTTTTCAGTGGCGCAATGACGTCTTCTTTCCAAGTCAGCTCTACTCAGACAAACAATAGTAGGTGTAATCATAAAGCAAAAATACACAAAACTTACGCATTTTTAATGACGTTTATTTGCATGTTGAAAAAACCAGAACGGTTTGTTTAAAAGTCAAAATTTTTCAAAACCCGCCGGTAGTGGATGTCTGTTGTTGCGTACACCACATAATCTACGGCTTTGGCATTTTGCATGAGATAATGCATTTCGGCCAATATTTTCTCACTCTCCAGAGCTAGCTTGACGAGGTTGTTTTCGAGGGAAATTCTCAAATCTGGCGGGGCTGTCAAAGATCGAGAAGAGCATATATAGCCTTGCGGCTGTAGAAGCAGTTGGTTGTGCGCTCGCCTTCCTCGGATTTTGCACGTTGAGAAGAAGTGAGAAATCGAGGTGAGCTTTATTTGATTCCATTCGATTTATCAGCTTTTCCACATCCAGGCAGTACCTCTATCAACACTTTCCCAGAGTTTCAAACGCATATTATTGGGCGGAAGATTCAATCTCATTTGGACAGCTCACTGTGAGTGTGTTGTTTTATTCACGTTCCGCTTTTAAAGTGTGTTCTAAAGTGGGTTTTTCTCTCTAGCTTTGATTACATCAGGCATATATCCAGCTTTCTAATGTTTTCCTTTATCTGCTTTGATAGATTGGTTTTTCGATGCTATTCCGCAAGTTGATCCAAAAAAGTTGATAAGTTGATCCAAAAAATGAAGATCGTGAATTTCGCTGAAACTTCGTCTAGGGAGGTTATTTGGTACGCTGAACACGAATATGATGTTTATTTCGTGCGACAGCGCCATCCGGTGGAGTTACGGTAGGATTACGGTAGGGGGTCAAAACCACGAAGCCCGAAACGTGGCCTAGAGGGGTTATTCGGGCCGCTGACGCCGAATATCACATTGGTTTCGTACTGTGGTGTCATTTTCAGTTACGGTGGGTATACGGTAGGGGGTCAAAATCTCGAAATTCGCTGTAACTTTGCACAGAGGGGTTATTCGACATGCTCATTAGAAATGTCACACTTTCTCCGCAGGGAAACGTCTCCCTGCATGGTTACAGTATCTTTACGGTAGGGGTCAAAATCACAAATCGGCAAATGTATCTTTCCCCTGTGCTCTGCTTAGGCAAAAGCCGCAGCAGAGTGTGTAGCGCGCGGCGGTGGTCATGTGTGCAAAGCTTCACGATCATCCGAATCGCCATACACCCTTTCGGGATGAACTATGTTTTACACCCGTTACCATGTAGCTACCGTAACCCGAGAAAATGACGCTACGGTTCAAAGTTCAAACCAATGTGATGTTTGGCATCAGCGGACCGAATACCCCTCTGGGCCACATTTCGGGCAAATCCGTGATTTTGACCCCCTACCGTAATCCTACCGTAACTCAACCGGATGGCGCTGTCGCACGAAATAAACATCATATTCGTGTTCAGCGTACCAAATAACCTCCCTAGACGAAGTTTTAGCGAAATTCACGATTTTCATTTTTTGGGTCAACTTATGTGGAATAGTACCGGTTTTTCATACATATTGAGAAGAGATAGAGAGTTACTGAAGTCTCCGTAAACGCCGAGGTATGCTCTTAGCAGTGGCGTACCGAGGGGGGGGCGGGGGGGGGGGGCGCGCGCCCCCCCCCCCGAGAACGGGTCGCGAAATTTTTGAAAATTACTTACATGCGTTATAAAAATGTGCAAATGACTTGTTTATTTTTGTAAACAATTAAAATAATTTTTTAAATTTTTTAAAAATTCAAATTAGCCTTATAAAACAAAATTTTTCGGGGGCGTGGCTGACGCCACGCCCCCTTTTTCCAGATTTTATGGGTTTGGGGCCCGCAAAATTGTTGAGAAGCCCCCCTAAAATTTTTTCGGAGTGCGTGGCTAACGCCACGCACCTTCATTTGAAAATTTTTTTGCCGCGCCCCCCCCCCCCCCCGAGCCGAAATCCTGGGTACGCCACTGGCTCTTAGGTATGTAATAGTATGTCTTCCCCAAATCTGTACTGTTTATTTGAACATTGCTTTCCATTATGACTTATCATCTTCATGGCTAGGGAGCCAACGAGGTTCCTTTGCAGTGCAGCTTTCTCAGTTATTTTTCTCCTCCAAAGTCCTATCAGATGTCTACTTCTAGTCACCTGAAATGAATTTTGAAAGCAATTGTCTAACTGGTTCGATGCCTCGCATCCTGCATGTACAATGGTCTAAACTTGCCTACTCTACGATCACGCAAAGCCTTTTATCTTTTCCAAAATCTTGACCCGATTGGATCAGGCTCGACTCGCATTATTTGGCACGCTTCCAGAGCTCTGAAAACTCAAATCAAAATCACGACCATACTACTTATGCTAGCGGTAATTCCAAAGTATGCTTTCATCATAGTGAGATCTCGCATTGGCGGCCGTTCCCAATTTTTTTGTGCAGTGCACGTGTAGAATCTGATCAACTCAAATCAAGAGGTAATTATAGCTGCATTCTGAATGTATATACTCTCCATGTGCGCCTCAATACGTAGGCTTCTTGAGTGAAATGACAAAGGGTCACACAATCAAGACCATACCATATGACTCATTTGTGGCCAAGAAAGTCTAACTCTTCGTCATATCAACCTTTTCGAACGGATGGGGGCAGGTGTTATGGATCAAAGCTGCGCTGCATTCCCCTGCAGTATATCCTGAGGGCCATCTCCGTAGCGTCGCTTTCGGCAGTGGATCAGCAGAATGGACCCTTCTCGGATTTTGGTGTTTAGGCAGTAGACCCCCCTCCCCCCCCCCCCCAAATACACTGTAGCCCAAAACTCATCTGCCAATTCATGCGCTAAATCCTGAAAAATGCGCTTCAAAACTCCACCAGCGCCGCCCATTCAATGGAAAGGGGCGGGACTGGTGGAGTTTTGAAGCGCATTTTTCAGGACTTAGCGCGTGTGGCAGATGGGGATTAGGCTACAGTGTATTTGGGGGGTCTACTGCCTATAATCCACCAAAATCCGAGAAGAGTGCATTCTGCTGATCCACCTCAAAGCGGCCGTAGGAGAGCTAGCGTTGTTACTGCATAATAGGGTAAGGTTTCCAATCCCCCACAAAAGGTCCAGACTCTCGTGTTGGTTTTTCTTCTACTTCTTCTTATAATTACTTTGTTGTGAATGGAACTAGTTTCCGGATAGTTGTCTCAAACCTTTTCAAAGAGCCCTTCATTCTCGAACAACATTCGTTTTTCTCTGTAAATGAGTAAATTTTTTTCAATAATTTGCTGAATGTTGGAACTAGCTGCAAGCATTTTTTTCGGGCGTGGCTGTCCCCATCAAATTTGAAAAGCATCATATCTTTGTATTATTTGGCTAACGCTACTCGTTTTTGTTCGAGAAACATATCTGTCCCTTGCTTTCTCTCTACCTCGAAAGATTTTCTCGGATCGCCATTGATGATCTCTGAAGTGTTGGGGAAGTAGAGTTGCATTAGGTGTCTTATAAGCTGAGTATGTTTTATTTTCACATTTTGCTTTTTTAGGGAACTCGTTTGCGGCTCGAAGATCTCCGTCGTTGGACAAAACCTGACGAGGCTGAAAGCGCCCTCGAGGCAGACTAGCCCGGCACTTGTCATTGTTTGGGATTTCTGAACAGAGAACATATGCGTGAAGTTTAGAGCGAATCTGATAACTGGTTAGCATTATCCTAATTCGATATGGTAAAACAGTCCGACATTCAAGTGGCTATTCTCGCCACTAGTCTTATGATAGCAACTTTATGCTCGTATGCCTTCGATCGATGGCAGAAAGAAAAACCACCACCAAAAATCCCTGTCCAATCTTGGGATAAGTATGTTGAATTGCAGAAAAAGAGTGGGAAAGAAATTTAGCTGCCTTATTATATAGTAGGTATCTACAGGGTGGCCGGTAAGTATGGGCGTTACAACATGTAATATATCTTTTCTCTGAAATATTCTGTCATGACGACTAATATGCCTGTAGCTTATGGGCAGTCTCTATATTAAGATAAGTGAAAATCACGCAAACTGAAGTCTTCTGATGTAAACGAGACTCCTGAATCTACTTTCTCTTGAGAGGCGCTGCGGCGGGTTCAATTAACACCATATTTGCAGTATCATATCTTAATTTGGAAAGGAGAGTTTTTTGATGTTGTGGCACTGCTTTATTCCTGGGAATGTGCTCTACAAAACCTCGGGTCTTAGAATCTACTCGATTAATAATCGGGTTTTTTCAACGGATTCACAATGGGTACATTTTTCGAGTAGCATTTTTGACGCATCAACTTTAAGGTAAGCTGCTGAAGTCTGTATGCATGTGCAGGAACCCAGTTTTGCAGGAATAATACACTAGGATGTCTGTGTTTTTGGCATGCAAAAATAATCTTATAGAATTTTGTTTGCTATGAAAAATCATTGAACGAAAAATTTGACGCCCATACTTTTCGGCCACCCTGTAGTTGGTAGTAAGTCTATACTTTGTTATTCGACTTATTGTACATATCCTGTTACATCTTTCATAAAGTTTGAAAACTCTGTCCGTGTTTGCAATTATATGTTAATGTTGTCACTGTGTATATTACGAAGATGTTCTTTATGTTTCCGTTCGCACTGAAGCGCTGGCTCATGTCAAAATTATCTAGTAATTTCCGTATTAAATTGTGTCTTATGTTCTTGTTCTAGTTCTATTATGTTCTCTTCATTTACTTATTCTTGTTGCAACCTTTTCACGTTTTCTGACGTCCACAATGGTATATAAGATTTTGCGCAAACGTGAAAAACTGGGATGAGACATTTCACCCGGATAACTTTTTCCAGACATTTTGCGCAACTGAGGTCTTCATACTGGGGTTGTTTCTGTCCCAGTGTGTGCAATTGCACATCTACCAAATGTTGGCGAATTAGCACAGGCAAGAAATGGATGTGCGATCATCCATCCATCGTAATCAAACGCCTGGGCGTATGAAACCAGGCTATAATGGAGAAAGCCATGCTGGCCACATCTATCCTGAGAATGTGCAGTTGCACACTTTTTGAAGTCTATTCGATTGCTGCGTAAATGTTAGAACTACCTGAACTATTACAAAAATCAATACTTATATTTTACGGAAATCAAGATTCTTCTAATCTGCTTGTGTAAACCACAAAGAACGCAGAGAACTGCGCTATAACACTAGCTGCTGACTCCTCACAAATCGACGCATCATGCTGCTTAATCTGCACTTTTGCGGCTGGCACACTGCGGAAGTGCCAGTGTTGCAATATTTACGCTGAGTTAAGGAATTTTGTGCGCTGTATATAAGAGGAACAGTGACGAATGTAATTATCAAATTGTAATCTCTGCTATAATGGATTGACTAATTGATAGTTCTCTCGTCCTCTTGCTGCGGCGAGTTTTAGTTTATTGATTTACTGCAATATACTGTTCAACTGTATTGATCGTTCTTTAGATGGCACAAGCGGGACCGTTCAATCGGGTTACGTCAGTCTCTCCACCACTGAAAGGTTCGTTCCCGCTTGACCATGAAGGCACATGCAAGCTAGAAATGCTCAAGTTAGTTCCATTAAAATCGTATTTTTCTTCTTTTAATAAAGACTATAATAGAATTTTATCGTGGAAAAGGCTCGACTTTGGACCTGTAGGGGGAATTTGGACAATTGAGGTTTTTTGCATAAGCAATATGTGGAAATTGGGTAAGATTAATCTCTTACCAGACTCTTGTTTCTGAGACAACCAAACCTGCAGCATTGTCGTAATAAATGGACAGCAAAACTCTGTGACGTTTTCCTCGAGTTTTTGCCGATGTAAATAACTTTAAATAAGAGCGCGATTAGCGGGAGATCCCGTTCGGGATCATACAAATAACGAATTATTTTAGCTTATACAGCAAAGTGCTGCTAGTCATTGTGCTACAATATTAGGGTAGTAGAGCCTCCAATAGATGAACAAACAAGGAAGAACTCAAATTCCCAGAGCACCGAGCTATGAAGCGGAAACTATCTGTCTGGGTAACTTACCCGGACGGGCGATTGTTACATACCGCCCCTGATGCAATCATATGCACCAGCCTTGACGCATTTATGGGCAGGAAAATTTATTTGTTCCTCACACTCGCAGGCGTCACTGATTGGATTTCTTGAGTATACTAGAGTATTTTATAATACTTTATGATTAGTTTTTTGAGGTACATGTGCTGCCTTCACGAGAAGAAACATCTAAACAGTGAATGCCGAGATGTAGCAAAAGCTTATTTTCAATGTCGGATGGATCATGGGTTGATGGAGAGAGATGAGTGGGATAAACTTGGTTATGGTGATAAATAGCAAGTTTGCGGAATTCATTAGAGTTTCATAATTCCTACTTTTTTATTTTTTCAAACTTTGGACTGATTTGTATTTCTCATGTTTCCTTGCACATTGGACCATTGTACAGACTACATATGGGCTCTTTAGCTCAATAAATATACATTCCCGTTTGTTCAATGTCGACGATTATGGAGCGAAATGATTTTGTTCTCGCAATTCTTGCGTTAACATTTTTTTTAGAACCTCCATGCATTTGTTGATAGCCTAAGCCATACAAAAAAGTCCTCCCATCGACGTTCTCTCTCCCCCCCCCCTCCTCTCCTGCAGTCTTTATCAGTCGATAACATGCGTGTTTCGAGAGTTCTCAATTTTTTAGTACTTTGCCTTTGTGCGGTACCAGGGAGTGCCGGGTGCCGCTATCAGGCGTCGTTGCAGCGGACCCTATCGGTGCCTGGAACCGATGATAAGCTTACAGTTGATAGGAACGTTCGTTTAACAATGCCATGTCCGCGAATGCAGTTTTTGTTCATTCATAGCATCCTTTTGGAACGAATCTGGGTGGTGATCATAGCGTGATGAGAGGCTGTCATCAGAAGCAACAGGAATTGAAACAATGAAGTGGTAGTTGAATACTTAATTAAAAGGAAATTAAACACTTGCTTTGGCATAGCTGGTATCCAAGAGATACTTTTTGCTCTCCATGTTAGTCATTACTATTTTGTGGGGAACAGTGAACCACGCTGTGTGAGGTTGTTTCTCGGTTTGGGTAATTCTATATGTCAATCCTGACCCAGTGTTATATGAGTTGTTCGTCCATTGTGGCGGGCTGCACCGGAGGCCCTTCTTTACCTTCTTTGATCCCCGTCCACTAGAATGGGCGGGAAATGGTCTGCGCGAGTTATAAGCTTGTGCACTCAACTTATACACGCAAAAAGGGAAAGGAAAAATAGGACGGGGCAGTCCTCGAGATGTTCGTAATTTCCCTTACAGACTGTTACTTGATTTTTCAGCTGTTTTATGACAGACGCACTTCTTGTGGTGGAACAGAATTCCACAGTTTCTTCCGCTAGCAAAGCTTTTACTGGCCTGTTACCATCAAAGGCAGTGGCTCGGGAAAATGCGAATTCGAGCTTTTCGCACCTACATGGCCTGGTGGATCCGCTAAGTCCGAGACTGTGCTTGAAAAGTCAAAAAAGTCTTCTCTGGCGTTTCCGGCGAAGATCGCTGAGCGGGCTGGAGCGGAGATTTCCGCCTATGAGTCGCGATTGGCCGCCTGGGCCTATCAACCAATTGCTGCAAAGAGTGGTGGTACAGTCTCCTGCAGCCAGTCACTGTTCTTGGAGAATCTCAGCTCCAGCTCGCTCAACAACCTAAGGCTAGAAAACGCCAGAAAAGCATTTTTTTTTTACTTTTCAAGCACATTCTCGAACCCAGCGGATTCAGAAGGCCATATAAGTGCAAAAAGCTCGAACTCACATTTTTCCCGAGCCACTGCCTTTCAAGTGTCGTGTCGCGCGCGGTGTGCAGGGTCACATATTGAGTTAATAATGACTCAACGATATACACTGTTAGTCTATCCCCAATATCACGAATTGGTATGGTGCATCCCCCAGAATTGTTCCTATGTGAAGTTCACATGTTGGAATATCGAGAGACAGCCACGTTGATGGCTCTGATGGCATCAACGTGGCTGTCTCTCGATCATTCCAACATGTCAACTTCAAATAAGCGCCTTAGATTTGCTGGAGTTTACGTGTTAAAACGATCGAAAGGCAGCCACGTCGATGGCTCATATGGGAACAATTCTGGAGGATGCACGATACAAAGTCTTCATTTTTTCTAACACATAATACCTTTGGAACAGAAAAAGTGTTTTTTCCCTTATCATAGCCCTCGTCACAAGGAGGTTTCAAAAACTATCGATAAAACAGTCAAGATAGATGACATACGGACTTTTTTGGAACACGAAGAAAGCGGGCTCTTTCTTTTTTGCATAACTTTGAATGACACCGTCATTGAAGGACTTGCGTTAAAGGCAGCGTCCAGGCAAGTCTGAACACATGGGGATCTCACGTGGATAGTAATTTTGGGGCTCTAGCTAAGCCACTGCCCAACCGGCAGCTCAGGTAGTGCTCTAACGACTAAGATAATTCCCCTCGAAACTGGACCCCGCAATCGTATTTCGCATGGATTCATGGCGCAAAGCGTGGATTCATGGCGCGAAACTGCCATGAATCCATGTGAATACGATCGCGGGGTCTAGTTTCGAGGGGAAAATCTCAGCCGTTAGAGCACTACGTGCGCTGCCGCTTGATCAGTGCCTTAGTTAGGGCCCCAAAAGTACTTCCCTCGTAAAATCCCCATAGGTCAGATCTGCCTAACGCTGTCATTAAGGCAACTTCGATGTTTTTTCGAAAATTCCGTAATTAATGAGAAAATTTTAACACACTCATCAGGATGAAGACCACGCATCAAATAGAACAACAACAGGCTTCTTTATTCGAAATACCTAACACGGTAAATAATAACGAGATTACTACCACGTACACGAAATGCAAAAATTAGCGAAGTTAACAGTCATAGTATATTGAATTGACGGATAAGATAGCTTCTACAGTACTTACAACACTTTCGCGTAAATTGAATACGGAGCGCGCATTCGAAACTGCGATCCATGGTGATTTTTCCACGCGCAAGTGTTGTTGACACCGCAGCATCACTACGAAAACCACCAAATACATAGACTGTACTTTAAACGCACCGAGATTGTTTTAGAATAAAATTAATTGTTTTACCGGCCAGTACGAGGAAAACCCAAAGTTTGGATAACATGAAGTGAAATAAGCAATGGATCATGCGAGTACAATGGATTCGGAGTAATAATGTGATAAACACAGTATGCTAACTACTGCTGCGGCATTTGGCAGATCGTGACGTTGACATGAGCGGCAGCAGCCGCTGAGCCGAGCAGATGGGCTCCAGTATGGTAGGACATTGGCATTGTCGTGGGCACGTATGCGGAGTAGTCGTGAAGCATAAACGTTGGTTCATAGTACTGTAGACGAGCTTGGACATCGGCAAGGGTTTGGAGCAAGCTACGGATCTGGAAGAAACCATAGATCTACCAAAACAAGCTCCAAAATCTTGTCTCCACCTTGGATGCCTCATTTTCTTCCATCTTGAATCTTCAAAAATTAGAAAAATTATTCTTCGCTTTGGGTCACCCTTCGCTATTGGCAAGGGACAAAAGATATGGCTGCACATTCGTTCATGGTCATATACGGTAGAGGCTCTCAATCATGGTGGTATACGGTAGAGCGCTTTGAAACTACGAATTTCCAACTGCTCGATAGCTCAAACAGTACAAGACTTGTATGTTGCCTCTTCATGATGTAGTAATTCAGCAAAAAATCGCTTTTATCTGTCCATGGCATTACCGTATACCTACCGTAAGTCAAGAAACCTTTTTGCTGAGACTTACTCAAAGTTGTAAATTTGTAATCTGAGACCCTCTACCGTAATTCTATCGTAATCTCGCAGAAGACGTCAAACTAAGGAGTACCCATATTTGCCTTCATAATAATCTCGTATACCCACTTCAATCTTACCATAACGGTAACTTAACCTTACCTGATCTCTCAGTTGTATGTTATCTGCTTCCAACTGCAATTGATTCTGAATTCGGCGCACTCTACAGTTCAAAGCGTAGCCACGATTTTTTAGTGTTCGCCTCTTTTGCTTCAGCATTGTTACCACTTGTCGATCATGGCCCTAGAAAATCTTTTTTGTGAATTACCAGACTTGGGTGAGCCCAATTACCTGCAAGCGCTGATTCAGTTGACGAACAGAAATTCGCTGTAGTTCTTCATCAGTGACTACATCAGGGCTCAATGGCGACTGCTCATTACCAGCAGGTACCGATGGTAGGGTTGGAGTTGTGGATATGGATGACGACGAGCTGTAGGATGGAGATGGCTTGCAGTACGGATCCATGAGCTGGGTAACCAACGTCACTTCTTAGGTGGACCTATAAAGAGATGACTGAGTTGTGGTTCAGGTAGAGGGAGGCGATTGCCATTAAGGTTAGGAGTAGCTGGTGAGTAAATCGAAGCAGAGTAGTCAGAGGTATGAAGGGGTCGCTTTCGACGTCTCTTTGCTCAGGTTCTGGCAAAGCGCTCTATTTTTAACGACATCATCAGAAGGCGCAAAGATCACTCAGTCAACGTTCCGATAAGCGCCCTCGTTCAAACAACACAGAAAAAAACGAGAGATGAACCGTGATTCATGCAAAAAAATCGCGAAATTTGAGTTTGGAAAATTGGGATTTAGCGATAAATGTGGGTATCCTACATCAATAGATACTTCCTAGTGGGACAACATCAATCAGAAAATGTGTTTTTTTGTGCGTCTCAGTTTCCTTTGAAAAAAAATCAAAACACTAATTTCATCTAGTACTAGGGAAATGTTAAGTCCCCAAGCTTTCTTTCTATCCAATAATGGTCACAGTGCGATTACAAGGTGAGGGATGGGCAGAGGAGGTGGTGGGTGGATGGTGCAGTGGTATGAGGCGCCACAAATGTAGGAAGAAGGTTCGATCCCAGTGCCAGATTAAACAAGTCTGCTCTTCGGGGACAGCAAGATGCAATTGGTACCGGACTAACCCCAAAGGGTTAAAGCAGGAGGTCGGTAATGTGCGTATGGGCCTAACCCAAAAGAAGGTATTGTGTGAGCGTCAAATTTTTTTTATACCTTTCTAAGTATGACTAATGTCAAAAAAAGCAACAAATCGAATAGTCGTTGCCCAAATTAACCTACTTCTCAAACGAGACAGAAGTTTTGCTTGTGATCACTTTCCTTTAATCATAAGTTTCTTGTAAAGAAAAAAACAAAAATAAAAACGCTTTGCCATGTCACACGCTAATCGGAGGCCTAAAATAATTTAGTCATTTTTATCGGAAACGATAAATTTTGATTTCCAAACTATGCACAGAACAAGTAGAGCGAATAACTAAAGTTACCTATAGAGTGAGAGCAAAGAGATTGAAAAGGAACTCTTCCGGCCTCAGCTTAGGCAACTGCTGAAGAACTGTGGGCAGTTCCTCGATTGCAGAAGAAAAGATAACGTTGAAAAGAACACGTCATGTACTCCGAAAGAACCCATCTTTGTTCTAGCGAAAGCAGTGTTCGCATTTGGGTAATGACTTTTGATCTTGTTATGGAGTAGGCTTCCATGCATGTACACATTGTAAGTCACGAAAGTGGAAAAAATATTAAAAAATGAAATGTATTCATCTTCAACAAATTTTCGTGCTCTTCGAGACATTACTCGTAATCAAGCATGGCTTTATATGGAGTAAAAAGGCAAATTCTTTTTGTATCCATACAACTAACTTCTGGGAAAAAGCTATGTTTCAGAAACAACCCCAGCTGGACACTCAAACCATCAGCTCACCCCCCTTTTTTCCCTTCCTTCGGGCGATCATCAATCTGAAACTGGTTTTATCCGATAGTTTTGGCGATTTACGTTCTGCATCTCACCCGTGGAAGACGATTCATTTCACTTACGTGTTACCTTATTTTGTAAGGGCACGTCGACTTAAATGCCTTGTGATGAGTGCCATGGGAACGCGTGAACGGCTGATTTTATTTTTTCAGCTGTTAAAGGCAGCGTCTAGGCAGATCCGAACTCGACGACCACGCCCACCTTCCTCGGACGGCCAACCCCCTATGAACGAAATCTCCTCAGCCTTGACGTGTTTTCACATGACCAACACAGTCGAACTTACAGCGTTTACCTGTTAATACTTGCTTTTGACAAGGATAACATCAGAAGCACTCGTCCGGGTTTTCCCAAAATAGCCCCAAAAGGTGGTTTTCTGAGAAATTTACGCTTTTTGAGTTCCATATTCGGAATCAGCGCCATGGAAAGGCCTGGATAACATGAAAATATAGAAGTCGAGAATCTGCCTGGACGCTGCCTTTAAGTTGATTTATATTTTTCTGTAATAATCCTATAGTACATATTATCCTTTTCGATGAGGATTATTTCTTTGTTACTATTCTTTCGCACCTTTGTTGTGGTAGTTGGTTGATTGTTTGCATTCTTTTTGGTCGCTTTACTCAAACTGATGCTGAGCTGTTAGATCAGGGGGCAATTAACAAGATAGCATCGTTTTCCAGCTAACTGGCCCTTGAACATTTGGAAATTTTTCATCTTGACTCTGCGCTCTCTGGGGTCTTTGAAGCTATATTCAAATACCTCAAATCCGTGAAGGCCGAAGATAGAGTTTTGCGTTTCCGCCATAGGTGCGATAGTGTGAGAATTTGCTCACCCCCCCTTCACCCCTGAGCCGGAAACCAAGGTGACCCCCTTCACCAAAACCGACAAAAAAATCAACAGTGAGGTAAGGTAATGCCTGATAAAATGACCACGCTATCAACCTATTTGTAGGCTCTACAGTCAAGAAGCAAGTGAAGGGCAATCGTGGCATTCTTCCAGCTATGTCCTTAGACCGATTTATGAGGACCGATTTTATAAACGGTCTGAAAAAGTGAGTGTGGTCAAAATTATTGGATGGTACACAAGTGCAAAACTGAGGTTTTTGCAGGCGTAATGTTCGGGAATTAAAGGTTATACAACGCTTGTCACTTGCTTCATACGAATATGGGATGAAGGACCGGACCGACCGATGACTATATTCTTGTCTTAATGTTGCCGTTTCATGCTTTGTAATTTAATGAAAATATTGAAAGATGACGACTATCAACTATTGTGAGGCCATCAGAAGTTGTAATAGAAAGTGGTTCTGAGAAGTGTGATGATGGGAAGTATCAAAAATTATGAATGATGAAGCACGTAGAAAGAAGTAAAATATTGTCTGCCCAGGAAACTCTGAAAGATACAGTAAAATTATTGCATGTATAAATGGCCATTCTTGGTAAATGTGCACGTAAATGGTAAGAAGGAAACACACGGGAGCAGAATTGGAACCTTCTCGTTATCTTCTAAAGAAGGCATTGGATGACAATGGAAGAAACAAGGACAGGAAAATCGGAACGCCTGACTGCCACGAAAAATTTATTCCGCTGAAGACTACTGGACACTGTGTAATACTGAACTTGTTAAATTCGGCAATTGGAAAAATTAGGGTTGTTGAAACAAAGTGAGGTTGTAACTACTTCTTGTTTGAATTTAGATTTAGCATAGGAGATATTTGTACGAAAATTGTTTGTGTATCGGAAAGGAGGGAGAAGATTTATAGGCAAAATTTGAAAAAAATTCAATTAAAAATTCATAACGTTTGTAGATGAACAGCTAGTACAAGGAGATGCTCACCATTGAAACCGTCTCATTCTCCGCTTTCAGAAAATATATAGTTTGTCTGGGATCCGTTGAAAAAAGTGCGTGGTGAAGGGGGTGCCTAGTGATTTCTGGAGATTTTCGAGTTTTCAACATAAAAAAATTCATAACTTCTGTAGATGAAGAGCTAGTACAAGGAGATGCTCACCATTAGAACCGTCTCATTCTCCGCTTTCAGAAAATATATAGTATGTAAGGGATCCCTTGCAAAAAGTGCCTGGTGAAGGGGGGGTGAGAATTTTATAACGGGAGTTCTCAGGCAGAGGCCTTTTCACCATTGTAAAAAGACGTCTACCTGAGAACTCCCGTTATAAAATTCTCACCCCCCCCCCCCTTCACCAGGCACTTTTTGCAAGGGATCCCTTACATACTATATATTTTCTGAAAGCGGAGAATGAGACGGTTCTAATGGTGAGCATCTCCTTGTACTAGCTCTTCATCTACAGAAGTTATGAATTTTTTTATGTTGAAAACTCGAAAATCTCCAGAAATCACTAGGCACCCCCTTCACCACGCACTTTTTTCAACGGATCCTAGACAAACTATATGTTTTCTGAAAGCAGAGGAAGAAACGGTTCCAATGGTGAGCATTTCCTTGTACTAGCTGTTCATCTACAAACGTTATGAATTTTTTAATTGAATTTTTTCAAATTTTGCCTATAAATCTTCTCCCTCTTTTCCGATACACAAACAATTTTCGTACAAATATCTCCTATGCTAAATCTAAATTTAAACAAAAAGTAGTTACAACCTCACTTTGTTTCAACAACCCTAATTTTTCCAATTGCCGAATTTAACAAGTTCAGTATTACGCAGTGTCCAGTACAGCACTGGCAGTGCCGCTTTTCAAAACTGCGTTTTAAACGCAATAAAGCGCCGGAAGTGCCGCATTGCTATAACTTCGTCCAGGTTACTCCTATTGAGCTCTGGTTAAAATATTTGGAACCAACGGTGTCTGGTGCATCCGATAGTATGTTTGAAAATTGGAAAATCCACAATTTTTTTGTGCCCCACGGCGCAATAAACGCGATATTGCGTCGAAAGAGCCGCATTCGAATAACTTTTCACAAAACAACTCTTTTTGATCTTCGTTGTTATACTTGGACTCAGCATTGATTGCTCTATCCAGCAATATCTTCAAAATCTAAAAAAGTCAATTTTTTCATGTGCCGCAGGGCACAATAAACGCGTTTTTGCGTCGGAAGTGCCGCATTGTTATAACTGCTTTCATATTTATCCCACAAAAATCTTATTTACACAGTTGTCATCAGTGTCCCTTGAGCTATCTGCTGATGTGTTTGAAGTTCAAAAAACCTCAATTTTCAATGAAATACACGTTTTAAATCCCATTGGTCCTTCTTTTTGCACTGATAAGCTGATAACGATCTTTAAAGTGATCGTACAGAATTTTGAACAACATATCTGGAATCAGCTCTTCGCAAGCTATCCAATGATGTGTTTGAAAACTTAAAAATCTCATATTTTTTGTTTCCGATTTTATTGGTCCCTCATAGTGGTATTATTAGCTAGGCTGGCTCCGGCCCCTGGCTGCCGTGACCTATCATTATCGATTTTTGCCAGAAAATCACTTCAGTCTGATAATACTTTAGAAAGTAACTCTATATTTCTGTCCTGTATGGTGAAAGTACCGTGCATTTCGATTTTGAAATTCTTCATGATAAATTCGATTTTCAAATTTTTTTTGAAAATTTTTGAATTTACCGAAACTTTTCAAGGTTTAGGATCTAAATGTAACAGTCAGTCACGATTTCGGAAAGCCGCTATTTTTGAAGCAGATATTGCCAGCCTTGCCTAGATTTTAAATTTCTAACAAAGGAAGCTCGATTCAAATCTCTGTATTTTGGGGATTCTTCTGACCTGAAACATTCAATATCGTTTTGCTAGTTATTTACAAGTCAAACTCACAACTCTTCAATAGTAGAAGTAATGATTTCAGGTTTTTGAGAAGCTTAGCTCCAGTTCTTGCCGAACTTGATCTTGTCTATTGTGATCAATAGGAAGAATCATTCTGATCTTTGACAAGCTTAGCTCAACTTATCAACTTTTGCAACTGAAAATTACATTTTTCCAGGTTCTTGATATGTGGATGATCTTGGCTAGATGACTTCGCACGTCTGGGCATGGTTGTGTCAGCTGCGTGCAGCTGCACCCAACTAGACTGATTAAAAACAGAATTACTTTTTGGGTTTCTTTCCACTTCAGTTTGATTAAAAAGGAAATAGATTTACATTTTTACTACCTGCTCAAAAATACAATGCATATGATTCTGAATTTCAAGATCACGAGCCCGTGCTTCGAATTTTTTAAAATTCTGGAAACCATCGAAATGATAAGCAAATAAATTGAAAGTTTGGAGTTTCTGACTTCCAAAATCACTAAATGCGAATTATTTTTCTGGAATTATCAATATATTAGGTTGATGCATAATTCCTGCACCAAAATAGGTACAGACCGCAATAACTCGGAGTAATCCTATATTCCAAGTAGGATTCGATATATCATTTGATAGCGCAAACCTAGCTATACAAATGGTGCTCAAATATATACACCAGCTTTAATCCACGCGAAGTTTTGAGCCAAAAACTGAAAAAAACCATGCGTCCGAAAACCTTAAGACAGATCTTAAAAAAATTGTAACTTCGTTCAAAAAGCTCATACAAATTTTCTTTCTTGCTCACGCGTAGACGTTCCACGTAAGACATTATCTATACGGTTGCTGTATTTTTTTCTCAACTAGGCGATGAAAAAACGAAGTTTTTTGAAGTTTTTCATGTTTTTGCCAAATTAGTGCTGAGATGTTCTAGTATCAACAGTTGTATAGTACATGCCGTTAGCAGTGAAACTTTACATTTTCAGCCTTCTAGAACTGCTAGTTCGCGAGAAATAACGAATCGTGCTCTCCTTATCCAAATTTTTCTTGCCTAGTTGCTAAAAATCCGATATTTCTCGTAAACCAGCTGCTCTAAAGAGCTGAAAATTCACATTCACGCTTCTAAGGTCCTATAGTATACAACTGTCAGTGCTAGAACATCTCAGCATTGTTTTGGAAAAAACATGAAAAACTTCGTTTTCTCATCGGCTAGTTGAGAAAAAAATACAGCAACCGTATAGATAAATGTCTTACGTGGAACGTCTACGCGTGAGCAAGAAAGAAAATTTGTATGAGCTTTTTGAACGAAGTTACAATTTATTTTAAGATCTGTCTTAAGGTTTTCGGACGCATGGTTTTTTTCAGTTTTTGGCTCAAAACTTCGCGTGGATTAAAGCTGGTGTATATATTTAAGCACCATCTTGTAGAGCTAGGTTTGCGCTATCAAATGATATATCGAATCCTACTTGGAATATAGGATTACTCCGAGTTATTGCGGTCTGTACCTATTTTGGTGCAGGAATTATGCATCAACCTAATAATTATGATTTCCAACCAATTAATGTAAAATTTGAGAGTTTGACAAGTAATAGTGTGAGCCACATTGTTGTGATTGGAAAGGCAGCATTTATATGCACTTTGTTTCTCCTAGACTTTCCACTTTCAGTAAATCCAATACTTTGATGACTGAATCCTGAATTTTTGATGACTGAATCCTGGAAGTTTTGCCGTATTGAAGCCATAAACATGTTTATTGAAATTCCAAACAATTCTGAAATGTTCTTGTGCAAGTTTCGTATTTTATGAAACTATATGGGTTGCTTAGTCTGAAATCACGGAAACATGTATAGGCCCCGCATTTATTTTATCCAATCGAATTGGCTGGAATGTGCATACACCCAGCTGACACAGATATGTCCAAAGGTGCGGAGTCATCTAAAGAAGACCATCCAGATATTGATTAATTTAGAAAAAAATTGTGTTCAATAGTTGCAAGAAAAAATCAGAAAATGTAAATTTTGCCATTGAAATCTCACAATAGCTAGAAAACAAGTTCATAAACGGCAAAAACTGCAGCTAGGCTTCTCAAAAGTAGGAACAGTCGAAAATTGTTCAAAAAATTGTTCAAAAGAGTTCAAAATTGAAAATTCGAAAATTGCTGTCGAAAATTTCGAACTCTTTTCTCAACATGGCTGTATTTCCATTTCGGTTTAAAAAAAACGATCATTATATCGTCCTTCCCAGAAATTTCGAAATGAAACAAGAAAATCTAGTCAAACATTCATTTTTTCAACAGCAAAAATAATAATTCTACTTTTGAAAAGGATGGCTCCAACTCTTGCCGTGTATCATCATGTTCTAGCTATTGTGAGACTTCAGTGGCAAAATTCATATTTTCTGATTTTTGGAAGGCTAGCTCGATAAGTCTTGCAACTATTGAAAATCAGTTTTCTCCAAGTCAATCAGCACCTGGGTGGCATTCTCAACTTCACACTGTGAGTTTGACTTGTAAATAACTAGCAAAACGATATTGAATGTTTCAGGTCAGAAGAATCCCCAAAATACAGAGATTTGAATCGAGCTTCCTTTGTTAGAAATTTAAAATCTAGGCAAGGCTGGCAATATCTGCTTCAAAAATAGCGGCTTTCCGAAATCGTGACTGACTGTTACATTTAGATCCTAAACCTTGAAAAGTTTCGGTAATTTCAAAAATTTTCAAAAAAAATTTGAAAATCGAATTTATCATGAAGAATTTCAAAATCGAAATGCACGGTACTTTCACCATACAGGACAGAAATATAGAGTTACTTTCTAAAGTATTATCAGACTGAAGTGATTTTCTGGCAAAAATCGATAATGATAGGTCACGGCAGCCAGGGGCCGGAGCCAGCCTAGCTAATAATACCACTATGAGGGACCAATAAAATCGGAAACAAAAAATATGAGATTTTTAAGTTTTCAAACACATCATTGGATAGCTTGCGAAGAGCTGATTCCAGATATGTTGTTCAAAATTCTGTACGATCACTTTAAAGATCGTTATCAGCTTATCAGTGCAAAAAGAAGGACCAATGGGATTTAAAACGTGTATTTCATTGAAAATTGAGGTTTTTTGAACTTCAAACACATCAGCAGATAGCTCAAGGGACACTGATGACAACTGTGTAAATAAGATTTTTGTGGGATAAATATGAAAGCAGTTATAACAATGCGGCACTTCCGACGCAAAAACGCGTTTATTGTGCCCTGCGGCACATGAAAAAATTGACTTTTTTAGATTTTGAAGATATTGCTGGATAGAGCAATCAATGCTGAGTCCAAGTATAACAACGAAGATCAAAAAGAGTTGTTTTGTGAAAAGTTATTCGAATGCGGCTCTTTCGACGCAATATCGCGTTTATTGCGCCGTGGGGCACAAAAAAATTGTGGATTTTCCAATTTTCAAACATACTATCGGATGCACCAGACACCGTTGGTTCCAAATATTTTAACCAGAGCTCAATAGGAGTAACCTGGAAGAAGTTATAGCAATGCGGCACTTCCGGCGCTTTATTGCGTTTAAAACGCAGTTTTGAAAAGCGGCACTGCCAGTGCTGTAGTCTTCAGCGGAATAAATTTTTCGTGGCAGTCAGGCGTTCCGATTTTCCTGTCCTTGTTTCTTCGATTGTCATCCAATGCCTTCTTTAGAAGATAACGACAAGGTTCCAATCCTGCTCCCGTGTGTTTCCTTCTTACCATTTACGTGCACATTTACCAAGAATGGCCATTTATACATGCAATAATTTTACTGTATCTTTCAGAGTTTCCTGGGCAGACAATATTTGACTTCTTTCTACGTGCTTCATCATTCATAATTTTTGATACTTCCTATCATCACACTTCTCAGAACCACTTTCTATTACAACTTCTGATGGCCTCACAATAGTTGATAGTCGTCATCTTTCAATATTTTCATTAAATTACAAAGCATGAAACGGCAACATTAAGACAAGAATATAGTCATCGGTCGGTCCGGTCCTTCATTCCATATTCGTATGAAGCAAGTGACAAGCGTTGTATAACCTTTCCTTCTCGAACATCACGCCTGCAAAAACCTCAGTTTTGCACTTGTGTACCATCCAATAATTTTGACCACTTTCACTTTTTCAGACCGTTTATAAAATCGGTCCTCATAAAATGAGGTTGTGAAAGGAACGATGCCGTTCCTGGCGGCGCGTTGTGTGTAATTGCACACCCACATTCACACACGCACTCACCCCCCCCCCCCCATCCCCCCCTACCCCCTCTGACCCCCCTCACCCTGGAGGGGCTGCGACCACCGTGACCCCCTTCACCCTGGAAAGGTCATTCTCACCTTATCGCACCTATGGTTTCCGCATCCTTTAGGAAAACGCCATGTTGAAAGCTTCTTGTGTATTGTTTCCACGCTTTGTAAATATGGTACCACAAGTTAAGAAAATTCATTTGAACAGGACCACACAATGGCCAAAATTAACAATGAAGGATAATTTGAGAATTGAAAAAATAAAACATTCACAATCAACACAAACTGAAACACAATAACCAGTTGAGCGCAAGATGAAACCCGACATCTTTTCACCAGTAAGATGCGACGTGAGAATACTGCGAAGTATACGTTCATTCAGCAATGACCATCAATTACGCTGATCTAGCTGACTTAAGTGATTTGAAGAATATTGTCGGCAATGGTATCTTGGTGGACAGTCCAAGGTACCTAAATCGAGCTATATTTTTGGCGAAAGTAGGACTGATTTGTTTACATACTTTTCCGGTTTCTGAATAGCTCCGCGGAATAAATGCAACCTTTTGGACAAATCGAGGCCCTTCGGATTGCGATTGTTCTAGAAAACGATTTGATAGATCATACAATAACTAATCATGAGCAAAATGAGGGGAGATGGGATCTCTAAGGAAAAAAATGTTAGATAAAGGAAGCGAGGTAAAGTCTAGTTTTGGACAAAGGCGCTTAGTTGATCGTCGCGAAGCGAGCGCACGCGGCGCAACCAAAGGCGACGCTCACCTCGTAAGCATCCTTTCATCCAAGACTAAACTCTAAGTATTGAATTTTTAGTTAGAAAAAGTCAATACCAGTTTGGGATTTGAAGGCCGAAAATATCTTTTTGGTGTCTTGAGCTTGCTCCGCTTCGGCGTTGCAGCAACCACACTATAATCAAAATTATTCGCCGTAACGTCGACTGCTGCAGAAATTCTATTGAGCAGATTCATAGATAAGCATATAAGCAATTTTGGAATTTAGTAACTTACTTCTTTTGCTCCAAAGGAGTCTGACATTCTTGACGTATGTTTATACTGCGTTCCCCTAGCACATTCGAGGCATGCGCAGCCAAAGGATTCGGACTTGTGCTGGTTTCTGTAACTGCTTATATCTGGTCAATTAATCGCAATAAGAGTCACTAAAATCGCATCAACCTTGAGGAGATTTTTCTAGAAGAGTCACATCTTGAGAAGACAAGTTTTGTTCGTCCTCTGATAGATATGAAAAGTTCGAATTCACACTTTGGAATGTGTCACTTGCCGTCAGTAACGCTGTTCTAAATAGAGCATAGATTTTGAGGTCCTTTTGCTTCAAAAAAAAAAAACTGCAAAACCTGTTCATAGTAAAGTCTTCGCGGGCGGTAAAAAACGATATTTCATCAACGTCTTCCTTGTTGGATATGCTCGCATTGTAGGAAGAATTTGATGAAAATTCGTCCATCGTCGTTTGCCACAATTACGTCTCGGCGTATGATTGGAGAAATCCCTGCGACGGGGTAAAGGTATATCAATATGGTATGTATCCTTTGATTCAATGAGATTGGCGGGTGGAAGGACCGCTCGCGTCATCGACGCAGTCTGCGTCTCTCTCGCAAAAGTGTTCTCCGATCATTCTTTTACCTAGATAAGGTCATAAAGCCCTGCTTTCCAGCCGCCAATCCAGTTGAATCAAAGGTTATTGGCGGTTTGATACCAAATAAGAAATTTCAAGAGGATTGCTGTTCAATCCAAATTATGGTCAAAAATGACCAGGGGCAATATTTACTAATTTCCCAATCTCTGATCGAGCGCTCTTTCACCGTTTTCTAGCCCCCCAAGGGCGGTGGGCGCTTGTTCGGCAAAAATGATAAAACGACGCCTCAAATTTTTTTTTCAAGATTTTGAAACATATATTGCACAGATTTTCTAGAACAGATATGCTGCGAAATACAGCGAAATTTACAAAACGTAATCACAGTATCGTAAATAATTTTATCATCAGTCTCAATCAACAGTTGCTTTTTGTACAAATATATTGAGATATTACCGGATAAAGATATTGACTAGGAATGCATATCAAATGGCACCGAGCATTGGACAAGAGAACACAGGGTAAGAATAATAGGCAAGATCATGGCAAAACAGTGATTAGAATAAATATTTTTTTAAACGAAAGAGCATGAATAAAAAATTGAGCATCATTTTGGATAACATGGGAGATATTTGTAAGATCAATGGGTGATTAGATCTGGGATTATGGCAGTTCACGTTGTGAAGGAATGTTGGAGGAAAATTAGGACTTGGTTGCTTGGACGAAGAATATGGCATCTGGAGAGTTGGAGGAGCCAAACTTTCGGAGCCGATGTCTGAAAATGGCATTTTAACAGCAAATAGAGTGAAAAGCCATGAATTCTACCGTACCAGCTTACAATAACAACTCCAATCACAATGGCGTAGCTTGACTGAACTGAAGCGGTTGTACACCTCGACTGCGAAGTAACTAAAACAGTTAATTTTTCTCAGCACAAGAATAAGCAGGAGAACTGCAAAATACAGAAGCAGTGAAGAGTTGCACACAGAGTTTGGACTCGACTCATTCTGACTCAATTTCTGCAGTTGCGGACCACTCGTGAACAGCCACCCTCACGCCTACTATACACACACTTTTCATTACACAGGCGCGATTTCGTTTTTTCTTTTTTGGATTTAAGGAATTAGAGAATGTTGAAACTGAATTTTGGTCATAAAACTTATTGTGTTATGGCAGAAATTTTCTTCCCCTTTTTACGTAAAATCAATTTCTTATTGCGTAATAAGCAGCTGCTCAGATAAGTCTGAATGAGTCCAAGCCATTCGCATCCTTGAAGCACACACCTTTTATCAAACTCAAAATGTTTGTGGTTATACGAAGGTACAGTGGGAAGTAAGCGAACTGAATAAAGCATAGGAAAACACGGAAATTGGTGCAAAAATGCTCGGATATGTAAAAAAACGTACATCCTTGTTCATTATTACTTCAGTTGTCATTCTCTACGAAAATATTTTATGAGCAAGACGGACGCCGAAACTTCCAGAAAAACTGCTGTAGCAAATTTGTCAGCTCCCAATCTTGGGTATTTTCGAACAGCAAACAATCCCTGGCCAAGCAGTCCAAGGAGATTTTTTGGGCAAGGCCTTATAGGATAAGATCTCTCTGTAAGCATCTTTGCAAAAGACCCAGACGACTTCGGTGGTGGAAGAGTGCGAGCACACAGCTTTTGAACTTTGGATTTGACCCATTGGCCAAAAATGCGAAATGGTTAAAACTCTCCAAATGTTGGCTAGTTTAGTGGATAAAGAGCAGTTTATGCGCAAATGAACGATGAAATTGGAATCACTGATGATGAATTAATGATAATATGAGTGGAGTGAACATATCCGAGCACTACTATCTGCATCTAGGCGTGTTAGAACATCCAAGTCCCAAATGGGGAACTTTTAGCGTATAAAATGCAATAACACGCGAAGAAGCAGTTTACCCAAACCAGACAAGCTCCCAGTGAGGATACTGGTCACGAAGAGTAGGCTGTAACAGAAGTGATCTAAATCTTAACAACAAAAAGATTAGAGGGCAACTCAAAAATTGCGAGTTGAAGGGGAAAAACAAATTTCAAAAATCTTAGATCAAGCCAACTAACCTCTTCGAAACCGTCCTCATCGATGGTGGGAGTGCTGCTCAAGCTGAGCCGCCGAGATCGTGGCGGCTTCGCCACCGGTGGTGCCGATGGCGGCGATGGCGCCAACGTCGGTTTCGCCATAACCACCGACTCGATGAAGGTCGGAGCCGCAAGCGACATCCGCTTGTGACCCGATGATGGTGGTTTACCGTGTGTTGGCCGCACACCGCCGGCCACCGTCGATAACACGGTTCGTACCGAGTTCTCGATGGAATCCGCCAGCAGTGCGCCAACTTCGTCTTCTTGTTCCTCTAATAGCAAGTTAGCTGCCGTCGCGCAGAGCTTTTCATCCTGAAATGGCCTGATAATCTTCAAATCTTCAGAAACATTATAGTTTGCTTGAGTCCGTAATTAGAACCGCCTTTTACCTGGTATCGGCGACAAGCCTCCACTAATTGAGCTACATCCTCATCTACCGGCTTCTTCTTGCCCACGATCGAGAAAGATCTTGCGAACTTTCCACCAATACATGAAAATCAATAAAATTACTTAAAAGGCAAGGTAATAGCTTGCCTAAAGCAAAGAAGGAAAAACCTACTGTCTGTCTGCGTAGAACTGTCCACCTGGATTCCGCTCTTAGTTGCCGCCACCGGTACATGAACGGACGCTGTACGAGTTATTCCGCCACCAGCACCTCCAGCCAAACTTGAGGATTTCGTTGAGCTCCTAAAGCCATTGGTCTGATTTTGCCCATAAAAAAATAAGAGAGGGGGGGGGGGCGGGGAGAGGAGAAAGGCGATAAGAGAAAATATACATGCATATCACGAAAGCGGAGCCCATTACAATGTCACATTTCCAAATCGTGTCAAAACTTGTTCTGCGCAGGACCCCCTACTCTATCATCAAGAGCGATGGAGGCGGGGCGTCCCTTATAGTGCGAATTTTTAGCACGTTACTTTTCGTACCTCACCCGAAATAAACAAAAAACTGGCAACTATTTCCATAACAAAAATGAAAAAAATCCAGAAACCACTTTGAAATTGAAACCAACCTCACTGATGCTGACTGCACTGATGTTCTCGTAGTCTTGCTCGACAGATGTTTGCTATCGTACGCCCCTTGCGAGTTGCCAAAATGACATCTAAAAACTATTATTATCAAACGATGCTCCATTTCGACTTATAATAACTTACCGTATCAATTTTGTGGTAGTATACGATGCCCGCACATTTTTCTCAGGATGCAAAAGTATAATATATAATTTAGGAAAAAATAACAATATCAGAGGTATAGAAGCGGACAATGAGAACGAAAAACTCATTGTCAACGCTTTATTCGTTGTACCCATATGTAGCACGATGAAAGCAATCCAAACCACTAATGTACAATACCTAAAAATTATGCAAATATTTGAGAAGCTACAGAACCATCGAGCCGCTGCGCAAACGCGCCCCCATATGGGACGCGTTGTCTGCGTTGCTGATTCAGCTATGAAATACAAAAGACTCACATTGTAAATCCTATGAATTTGGCCTCGTTGAAATTTTCAGGTAGATTTCGAGTTTTTACCGCATAAAGAGTACATAATGAGATTAAGAAGAGATTCCACATAAATGGTGTAAGAAATGAACTTGACGATGTAGCACAGACTAGTACCAGGCTGAAATAAATCAATAATTGTTCAACAAAAATTTGAATTATTAAGATAGAGAGTAATTCGTTCAGGATCTCACGGTATGCTACCGTATACGCACAGCAACGAAGGGTAGAGACGCAGGGTGAAATAGGCACTTCACTCTGCGTCTCTACCTCATGTAACTGCTGCTTTTACTCAAGGAGAGGGAAAAGGGAAACAAGCGGAAGGGGAGATGCAAGGGGAGGGAGAAGAGAGAGGGAGAGGGAAAAAATAGAATTCCATTTAAACAGGAAAAATATGATCACGAATTCAATTTCCATCCCGTCATGTTTCGCGTTACGGTAGTATACTGTAGGCTCAAAAGCTCTGCCCCCAAGTAACCCTGAAACATACCGTTGTGGCAGATAATGCGGCGAAAAACCGGCCGATGGCCATTCTCGTAGCACACCGACAGCAACGACTACACATTGAATTCCAACAAGAATCCATGTGATGACCACCTAAGCGAAAAACATAAACTGAAGCAAAAATTCAAAAAAGGTACCCGAAAACACAATATTCTGGCGCAGCAAACTCATTTATTAAAAAACAGTAATTTACCTGAGAGAATGTGCTCAGAAAACGCGGTTTCTTCGTAAGAATCCGCTTTTTGCTGCCAGCTAAGATTCTGGCTATACGATTAGTTTTTGTAAGCAGGGCAGAGTAAACAATTGAAAAGGCAATGGGCGGGATAATCCTGGAGATAGGATAACGTTATTCAACGAAAATAAAAAAAGCATCGGATACCTGGCTAGAAAACAAGAAATTGAGGATGGCTTGGCCAAAATTGCGAAAGTCACAGCGTAACACGTCATAATCCCTAAAACTCAATAAAATTATTAACATTCTGAAAAATCAGAACCTAAATAGTTTACCTGAGAGTATGATATAGCTAAGCTCTCTAGTCGTGCTTTTCACTACAGGGGTGCTGTTATGTTTCATGAAGATCACAGTAGTAAGAGTTGTCGTGATTATTCCAACAGTGGCGAGAATCAGCGCTAAGACCGAACCAAAGGACGACCACGATAGGGTTTCATGCGGCAATGGTAGACAAGCTGAAAAATTATTATAAGGATAATTTAAATTCAAAGGCAGTGTGCAGATGTGGATGCTAGGATTTTTTATATAAAACCTGATCAGGAATCCTTGACGGTGCTCTTACCTAAGGGGCAGTTTATTTGATTCATTTGGGACAGGACGTACATCTCAACGGCTGCCTCAAGCTGCCAATACCATAGCCTTGCTATGGCCGAGCCAGTGCTGTGTCTGCGCCGCGTTGGAACCCGCCTGAACGCGTCCTTTTTTAATCAATCAATGTTGCTGAGCGACGCTAGCACGGCGCTGACACGACGCTGGAACGGCCTAGCACGGCGCTAACGCGGGCAAGTTCGGACACATCCCAAACGCTCGCCCAGTACCGTACCCTCGAAACAATCAACAGCCCGAGTACGGTAGTGGGTGAACATTTACACTGTATTTCTGAATCACTGGAATGAGTTGAACTGCCACTAGGGCAGTGAGTTCTCCATACTCCTTCTAATCATGAGGACATAAAAAGTAAAACAAATTTCTCTTCCTCCAAAAAAATGTTGATACAAAACTCACATTTCCGTAGCTCGTCTGGCCAGGTTCCTATGCTACAATTCTGGCACTGATTGGTGGTATAGTTCACTATTTGATGATCCATACAATTCTCACAAATCCAACAACACGCAATGGTTTCGCGCTGCTGAAAAATCATAATCTCTGATAATTTAATTATTGAACTCCAGCAAAATTAAACAAACCCGCTGTCCAATCCCGCACGGTTTGCTACAAACACTTTCTGGCAGCTCATTTGAACGATCATAGAACACAATATTGTGTGTATCGGTCATATTCAGCTCTTCGACACCGTTGATGTTGTTCGATTGGAAGCTGCCCACTTCAGCATAAGGATCGTCAGGTTTTCGTTGGCCCACATAGTTTAGTATGTCGTACCTAGAATTTCAAATTTACATTGGCAGGATAGTTTGCAGCATGGTCAGAATTATAATAAAACGCTGAGATACGATAAGCAGAAAGAAGAATTGGAGAGTCAGTCTATTACATATGGTACATTGCAATCATAGAAACTTCTTTGAAGTGTAATATTTTTTTAGAGGAGCGTGGTTTGAGCCACCTCGCTCTCAACAAAATTTTTTGTGAATCGTAGTTTGAATAAATGAGAATCAGACTGTTACTAAATGGTGTAATACTGACGAAGAGTCCTTTGATAAAAAAAGAAAATTCCCAAAAAAAAGTGTAGTTTCGTTTAGAATTATACAAAACTGGTCAATTTTGATGAAATTCACGAGATTTTCCGCTTAAAAAAACAGCCATGTAAAACCATGTAAAAAGGAAGAATACTTGCATACACTAATACGAATTTTTTGAAAGTTGTGAATTCTGAATTTTGACCTATCTTCTTATATATAAAGCTGAATGTCTGTTTGTATGTATGTCTGTCTGTCTGTCTGTATGTCTGTCTGTGTGTACGTATGTTCCGAATAGAAAATTTCATTTCTGAACCGATCCGGACCAAACTTGGCACACATACACTTCGGGCCCCGGCGCGTGTCATAGGCTACTTTTCGTCATCGATCGATATCGATTTTATCGATTTTTTGCAAAATTTGAGCTACGGGGCTGGGAGTTGGCACAGGGGGGTAATCGAGCATGCTGATTACGAATACAACATTAGTTTTTAGAATCGTGCATTACTTTTATCGATTTTATCGATTTTTTTGCAAAGTTTGAGCTACAGGGCTGGGATTTGGCACAGGGGGGTAATCGAGCATGCTGATCACCCCCGTGGGGGTGATCAGCATGCTCGATTACACCCCTTTGCCAAATTCCAGCCCCCTAGCTCAAATTTTGCAAAAAATCGATAAAATCGACATCAATTGATAACGAAAAGTGGACTGTGACACCCGCCGGGGCCCGAAGTGTATGTGTGCCAAGTTTGGTTCGGATCGGTTAAGAAATGGAATTTTCTATACGGAACATACGGCGGAGCCGGGTATGCCAGCTAGTATAATTTAAGATATTTTTTTTCAGCCCAATATTCAATCCACTCTCCAAGAATTTCAAAAAAAACCGTTTTAGTTAACATACCATGCTGGAGGATCTCCATTACTGTCAAAGTAGATGGATTGTTTAAACTGATCTTCGTATGTGACGTTTAGCAGGTAGTGATAAAGCAATGTGCCATTTCTTGACAACATTTCCGTGCACAGTGTGGAATTATCACTGAAAATGCATTTTGTGAGTCGAATTCCGTTCATACTCTGAAAAAATATTGCGGAATATAACATGCCGCGCCCAAGATCAAATGTGAAGTAAAGCTTACCGACAACGATCTTGGTACATAGCTTTCAAACCATAAGCGACCACTTTTATAGAATTGATGACCTGCGACAGCTTTGGATCCTAGAAAATATAATTTAAAACACGAAATTTGTTTAAAATTTAAGCTTCACCTCCTTGTACTCCTTATCCAAATCCTCGTTGCCAGTGCAAATTCGGATATTCTCGTTATTCTTATCCTCTTTTGATACGGCGAATTGACAACCGAATTTTTGCTGCCAAAATTCTCGAAACCATGGATTAATGGTGTTATTCTCGGGATTAAGCTGTGAGTAGTAAGCACGAAATCCAGGAACCTAAATGTGCGTTTAGTGAGAAAGGAATATAACAGAAATAAAAATACAACAAAAAAATCATTGTTGTTTCATATTTTGATCAAATAGAATGAAGGCAACCAAGCAGCACGCATTGCCGCGTTGCAGTTGTAACGCCTTTGAGCCGCAGAGACATAATGCGAATAGAGGAGACGCAGACAAGGCGTAAGCCAAAAATGGCTTATTCTGGCGCTAAAATGTACCTTTGGAGCATGAATACGTATGCTGAAGCTGCCTTCGGCTTCGTCTTCCAATCCTTCCACCACATCATTTCGATCAGCCCAACCATCAGAACCAATCCATTGAAACCTCTAAAGAAGGATAAAATAGCAATTTTTAGCTAAATCACAAAAAAATCCCATAGTTCCTTACTTTGAAGCTCTTTCCCTTTCGAATCAAATCTTTCTGCGCTTGGAAGAAGTTTCTGATGGTTAGGCCTTCACAAAAGCAAACTACCACTTGAGGACGAGATTTCTGGCTTGAAAGCTTCTTCAGGACCTGAAAGAAAATTTTATAGCACTTCTATAAGTAATTAGTACACTCACATTTCTATATTCAGCATCACCGGCCAAACTCTTGATCTTTTCCGAGTACGCTACACAAACAGACGATTTCTTCTGGTCTAACAGACGTTCCAATGCTTCGAAACCTTTCTCACCATAGTTGCCTGAAAAGCAATTTGTTGTATACGTCCGCAATAGCACGACGAATATATGCGCGCGGTCACACAGCGACAGCAGCAGCTGAAATTTCACGAAGATAAAGCATAATTAAGTTCACCCTTGTTGCATTTCAGCTGCTGTGTAGTGTTTATATTCCGTTCATACCCGTTGATGGGAGACACTACGCGACCGCGCGCACGCATATGTTATCGATTTTCAAGGTGCATACCAGCTGAATATAGCACTGCGATGTAAGTCCAGTTGTAGTGATGTAAAAGTCGATTGATTGCTTGCGCTTGCCAAACATCCGATGGTACGACACTGAGACGAAGTATAAACATATTGTTTACAAAACGAGAGGGTCTGATTTACCGCATGAAGTAGCCAAATTGTTCTTTGTCTGATAGATCCGGTGTAGTAGCCGAGTATCCTACTTGAGGAATGCGGAATACCTAAAAAATCAAGCACTTGATTTTTTTACTCCATTGCAGAAGATATTGATTGATGATCGCGCTTCTTTGCCGTGCTCGCCTCGCGACGCGACTACCAATCAATAATTGAGCGAGTGCGGCAACGCAGCGCGACGCGGGTGAAGTTGTTCAACACGTCAATACATGTTGAAGACAAGTTTACCTGCAACAAATTCTGCACAGCAATGGTAGCCGAACTTTTGCCTGGTCCGACAATGGCGACTACTGGCACACTTTTCTTGTTGCAACCGGGCGTCTGACAACAACTGCATTGAGCGACACCTTCGCGAAGAAATGCAATTGTTTGTTCCATCGCTATTCGTTCGGTCCAACAGGAATCTCTGTAAATAAAGCAGTTTTGAGTTAATCATCCGCGGGGAGAAAGGAGAGATCGGGTCGAGCGGGGACATTAGGCTCTCAAATTGTGAATTTCGCTTTTTGATGGCACTCTCAAAAGAATGGGTAGTCGGTTCAAGACAGGCAGCTCATGACACGCGACCGTTTATGCCACCGCTACAGTAACTTTCACTGGAGTTGGCGGCTAGAGGGCGGGGCTTCAGTCGATTACAGAGCACGTACGTGAGAGAGATGCAGAGCTTGCTCTCCCACGCTTATGTGCTCTTTAATCGATCGAAGCACCGCCCTCCAGCCACCAACTCTAGTGAAACAGAGGGTAAGCTGTCTCCTTGATTTTATAAACTCTTTTTCTTCGCAACTCCGATTGCCTTGCAAAAAAAACATCAGCAAATACAGCTGAAAAATCCCAAATCACTACCCAATTTTACGATTATCCAAGTCACCGATGGCTATAATCTTTCTAACAATTTTGAACTCCTCGCTCTTATGCTCCGCAAAGTCAGAAAAGGCCTTCACAGATACAGTACATAGCGCACGCACCATAACTAGCAAATTTAAATCGTTGCGGCTTACTATACAAATTACCAGCCATGTGTTTCTAATTTTTTTGATAGGGTTACGGTAGTTTGCTTCAAGCTATAGTAACCCTATTCAAGTTGAAATTGCATGCTTGACACCTACAGGAATTTGGGTAAATGGACAACTCTAAGTCAGCTGACTTTACTCTTACCAACCGGTCCAGTGAGCGCCCTTTAATATGGTAGAAATACCGTGTGGAGTAGAGTTGAAAGTTAGTTTTCTCGGCCGCTAGAATCAATTGAGCTGAAGTGAGAGCAGTTTCTTATTTAATGCCCTTTGGTCAGTTTTAACATGAGAACCCAATTAAGCAGGTTTGCCTGGACGATTTACTGCTCACAAACCTTTTAGTCAAGAAGACGTAATAGAGCCCTACTTCCTTCCCAGATCTCAACAAGAATATTTGCTTGTGATAGACGCTCGGCCCTATATGCACATATAAATTGGGCGAATTAGCGCTTCGGATTGTGTCTGCCATATGCTTGCGAAAACTTTGAACGACTGACGTGAGTGACTCGGCTTAGTCGAAATCTCATCGCAACTTCGCAACTGCTCTGAACACGAAGATTTCATGAATATGCGAACAGGCATTCAGCGCGTTCAAGAGGCACTTTTTTGCCGAAACGAAATCAGAACGAACAAATCCCTGATTAGCATGTTGCAGAGTGAAGTTCTCGAGACGGCAGCGCTTCAGTCACTCGACAAGCTCTCTTCGCAGGTGCTAGCGATGAGAGGATATTTGGTATGGGTTTGGAAGACTAATATCTCGAGAAGGTGCCTGGTCAATCTGAATCATTGGACAGCGCTAAATTGGGTCCGCTTGCGCCACTAACGAGTTGTTTTGTTCGTTACCCGAAAGCTGTGACCAGAAAGCACTATGTGTAAACATATATCATTTGTGACAGTCCACGCTCGCATTTTGGTACGGTGCCCAAGCAATTGTGAACCCCCCCCCTACCAAAATTTTGATTCAAAAGTTCTAATGAAGCCGTTGCCCAATTGCCAGTCTAAACGATTCATTCGTGGCCAGAAAATCAAGTTCTGAACTCTCGCCCAGTACCGCAATCTTTGCCACAATTAGCAACCTCGACTACGGTACGGGCGAGAGTCTAGAAATAAAATCCATGGCTAAAAAATGCACATGAGTTGCCGTTGCGCAAACGTATATACTGTAGCGGTGCAAAAAGGCCCTTTTCCAATTCGCAAAAAGGACAGCTCCAATTCTGTCGAAGAGGGTATAAAATACAGACTGCCCCTCCTCCCCATTTCTTCTCTCAAGAAAAAAAAAACAACAACGAGAAACTGAAAATATAAATAGCTTACTAACCTTATTGATATTCCGAGACGAAACGGTAGTTGATCTTGCAGTTCGCGTACTGTACGTAGAGCAATTTCGGTACGTTGTATACCGTATTGTTCCCATATTTGTCCGCAAGATTCCGAACCGGCTATTTGACGATGTAGCGGAAAAAGCGCGCCAATCTAAAGTGCACGATAAAACAAGGAAGAAAAGCAATATAAGCTTCGTAGGCTACTTCCTGGTTGGAATTTCTTGGGAAATGGGTCATTACTTGCACGATTTCGCTGAGTGGAGTTTTTTCTCCTCGTACTATGCCGAACGAAATCAAAAATGTAATGGTCCCTTTTTGTGTGAAGTTCTTTGGTGAGTGTGTGTGTCGTCCATAATCGAGGCAAAGTTCTCTCCCTCACACTTCCCCCGCGGGATTTGCGTCGGATCTCATTTGCGACTCACAACGACGACGACAACTCGGTTCAACTCAAAGCCAGTTCACTCTACACGTGTGTGGCGGCTGCTCTGATTAGTGCGTCTATAGCAAAAGTCAAGAGGGGGGAGGAGGGGGGGGGGGGGGGTAGCGCGCGTGAAAATTTAATAGGGTAGAATTTAAAACCATGTAATGAAGTGTGCTAAAGTTCAGGTCACTGACGCCGAAGAGCAGCCTTTGTTGATGGCTTTATAGTCGTGTTACCGTAGTAGGACGGTAGGTTTACTGTAGCTACTAGAGCATGAACCTCGAGCAGTCTCATTTGATTGTTAGTCAACCCATTATGAAAATACAAGCCCGATTGTATTGGCGAGGTGATATAAGCGCAATACTAGTGTAGTCTTAGTCATGTTACAGTAAGTTTACAGTAGGCTTACCGTATCAAAGCCTAAATGAATTTAAGCAGTTTTCGATGAGCATAAGCATAAGTAAATTTAGAGCACTTTCAAATGATTCACAGAGAAAGAGACAATACATGGTAAAACGTTACGAACAAGAAATTGGGGTGTTGCCCAGCGAGGTAAGTGGTCGATTACTGTAGTTTTACGGTAGGGTTACTGTATCAAAGCATAGGTGGAAATTTAAGTAAAAATACAGGGTGTCCCAAAAGTAAGTACACACTTTTCAATCGTTAATATCTCCCTTCCCGTTGTGTCTTTTTCCGCCATTTAAGTACCATTCTGTAGAGGAGGCTTCGGCTTAGATTCACAGTATCGAGCGAATCACCGATCGCTTCTCGTTACTGTAGGATTGCTGTAGGAACCCCGACAAGGATTTTAGCCCATTGGAAGCCATGTTCTGCCTCAGAACAAAACCAAACAAGCCAAAAACTCTTATGTCATGGTAATGGAAGCCGCTGATTTCGAATATGAAAATTCTGCTTTACTGTGTTGCTTCTTTCCAAAATTATTCTAGTTAAGCCGTAATAACCGAATTCCCAGTATTTGTCAGAAATGTGATTACACCGTCAAAAAAGCTGAAAACGCTTTTAAGAAGCTAAGTAAGTGAATTAGCGTGCGCGAAAACCCTAGTACACGGTTTTTCAGATTTTTTGAAGAAAATTTTGTCAGCCCGCATATTTCACAGTGATTCCACATGCTGGAAGTTCCTGCCGTAATCGTACAGTAACGAGGAGCGATCGATGAATCGATCGATACTGAAAATCTAAGTTGAAGCCTCTTCTACAGAATGGTAGTTGACTGGCAAAAAAAAGACCCATTGGGAAGAGAGATATTGGCGATGAAAAAGTGTGAACTTACTTTTGGGACACCCTGTAGTTGTTAGAGTCAACTCACAGTTAACTAATTTCGGTTTTTGGTGTGTTTTGGTAGCCATGTTACTGCAGTCTTATGATCATATTACTGTAGTTCTACGGTAGGGTTACCGCATTAAAAAATAAGTTACACCAAGTTCTACTGATTGCCAGAGTCAACTCATAGTAAAGGGTTTGATTAGGTATGGCCTGGTAATTATGATGGCCAAATTGTAATTTTATGGCCAGATTACTGTGGCTTTACGGTAAAGTTACTGTACCAAAGTGTAAGTAAATTTGCACCAGTCTTTGACGATTCCTGGAACTCATAGTAAATCGTTAGATATAGTGTGGGCTGACGAGGCATATGGTCGCCGTGTCAATGTAGCTTTACGGTAGGTCTACCGTACCAGGGCATAACTTAGTTCAGATCAAGTTCAAATGTCGCATTAGGCTCACGCGAATCGAATGGTAGAAAAAACAGAGCAGGTATAAAAAGAAGATTAGCATTGGAAATCCACTTAACCTCCTCCACCTCCTTTCCTATCCAACTCTCATTACTCCTCCACATACTTCTCCAACTCATCCCCCCCTCCACCCACCCACTTATTTCTCGAGCAAGTTGCAGCAGCCTTATATGAATCATATGCTTAGATCCCTCTAGCAGAAGCTTGACGATGATGAGGTTTTCGGCGAAAGCCGCCGCCGGCGCCTCTCTTTCTACTCTCATCGTAGCAGAGCGAGAAAACTCAATCAAACACTATAGAGTTGTGTCGATCTCAATTAATGCCTGGCCATCAAAATCATCTGCGTTGCTCGTTGCATAAACACTGAGAGAGGGCCTACGATGAGCGTCCGAAAACATCTATCGGCACTCTTTGCAGAGTAAACTGACATCTAGGAAACTTTGCAAATAAGGATTAGCCTTGGAAGAGTTGTAATTTTCCTGCAGCGTTTTGGGCGAAAAAAACTGGAAAAAAACTCAAGTAAAAGCTAAAATGACTGCCATAATCGATTATTACTACAATTTAAACTTTTTTTTAGTATAACGGCCCCCGGAAAAACACAAAAAATCCTTGTTTCTTCACTGCGTTATGCAGAGTATTCGTTATAAAAATGCGAAATACCTAGTCATTCTCAGTATTGGCATACATTATGGTATCCCAATAATAACGTTTCAACTAATTCAAACCCCTCTAAAAAATGCGATTGTTGCAATTATTGCTATTTAAGAAAGTCTATCTGCACGATTTCACAGCTTCTCCAAATCGCCTTCAAAAAAACTACAATTTCGGGATTGATCCTTTCATCTTTTAGGGCTAAAAACGAGAATTTTGGGATTTCATCCCGTTTAATTTATGATGTCTGAAACTTTGAAGAACAAGAAGTTCTTGTGCTGCACTTACTGAAAGATCATCGTTCTCGGACCTTTGAGCCAGACAAAAGAAAAGAGTAACAGTAAACTAGATTTCCTAATTCTCATTCACATTCAAGAGACCTTCTCATCTGAAAATTAGTTATAGTTCATTGTCCAAATGTGAATATAGTTCATTGTGAAAGTTCAAACGTAAAGCAGATTCAGAGGACAAGGTTCTGAAATAAGTTAGTAAAAATTCTTAGATAGAAAGCATGTATCAAAAAAGCGAATTCAGACACAGGAAAGAAACTGAACCTAAGCTTGTGCAAGAATAATCTCGAGAATTATTATGAATGAAGAGGTGATACTATGTCTTCCTGATCAATACACGGTCTGTAAGCCAGATGTTCATACTTTAAAAGTCATGTCTATAGACTAGTAAAGACTGGAAGGTTTCGAATAGCACATAACAATTATAATTAAGATGGAGAGTTGTTGAAAAATAGAGAACGTGAGCCGCGAAAATCTCAGCCTCGAAAACAACATATATTGATGATTTTTTTCGGTTACTTTTTGCTAATCTGCTTTTTTGGTGCAACTAAGATCTTATGTTTCTTGGTCCCTCGATCAGCTTCATAACTAACTATCAAAAGGATTTCGTAATCTTGCATAAAGCAGATGATACGCAAGTTGTCGACGTCAGCTTGAAGCCCATTCAAAGCCCGAAAATCAGATTTAAACTGGAAAAGCAAGTGAAGCAGAAGATGTGAAGGAGGTGATTTCGCATTGAAAGCTGAACACCGGGCAATTCTTCGAACGCCTAAGCCAATTCGCAAAGCAAGGTTTTGTTCCACACAACACCCCCACCTCATTTCCCTACATTTAATTTTCACAGCTGTGAATATTCCATACTGCAACATATTCTGCCCTCAGCCGCCCCAGAATAGACTTTTGATTCTCTCAAAATAGTCTCACAAGCAAAGGCTTGATGGTGACGTTTGTGACCGCTAACAAGGTCAAATCGGCAACATTTCTTGCCCCATGTGCTTACGCAATCGGAAAGTCCGCCTGGTCCCAGCGTCCCTAGAGAGAAAACACTAGCACTCTGGACCGACACAGATTGTTGCTTACGATGATTGAAGGGAATACGAGAGGAAGCCATAGGCCCCGAACATACTTCACGCGATTTCGGTCGCGCCGCGACTTGGCAGTATTCCAGTTATTACTCGTCGCAACTCAATCTGACCACACGAAAAATAGCACATTTTATTGACTCATAAAAGTTGAATACGCCAATATTTGTTGTCTGCGACGGTTTGAAGAAATCTGGCAAACGGTCAAATCGCATGGCGACTGAAATCGCGAGAGTATGTCCAAGGCCATACGAAAACCTCGCGAAATGTTTGAGTATTGATGGGAACTTGTGGTATTTGGGGAAGAAAAAAATAACCTGAAACACCTAAATACTTCTCAAAACATCGCTATTACAGGGTGGCCGAAAAGTATGCGCATCACATTTTTCGTTTGATAATTTCTATAGCAAACAAAATCCTGTAAGATTATTTTTGCATGCCAAATACACAAGCATCTTCATGTGTTGATCCTGCAAGACTGGATTCCTGCATATGCATACAGACTTCACCAGCTTAACTTGAAGTTGATGCGTCAAAAATGCTACTTGAAAGATGTACCCATTGCAAATCCCTTGAAATAATTTGATTATTAATCGAATAAATTCTAAGACCTGAGGATTTGCAGAACAGTCCGAGGAATAACATAGTGCCGTGACAGCAAAAAGTTCTCCTCTCCAAAATAAGATACAGTACTATAAATACGGTGTTAACTGAACGCGCCGCAGCGCTTCTGAAGGGAAAGTAGACTCAGGCGTCCCGTTTGCATCAGATGATTTCAGTTCGCCTGCTTTTCACTTATCTTAATATAGAGGCTGTCCATAAGCTACAAGCATATTAGCAGCCATGATAAAGTATTTCAGAAGAAAGATATAATACATGTTGTAACGCCCATACTTTCCGGCCACCCTGTATCTTGAGAGCATCTCCTCTGAATTAGATGAGCCATGTCCCATAAAAAGGATGATTATTCCATTCACATTTTTGGCAAAATTTTTACAAAATCAGCCTTACATCAGCTATTTACTAAAGTGAACAGTATTCTTATATGTCTGCCTTACCTACTTGCTAAGACTTAAATTCATCATCCATTCCGACCAAAAGAGAGTAGGCGCGCCCCAATTCAAAAACGCAAGACAGTTAGTCAAAAGGCGTACACTGCTAACACAGAAAACGGGGTTTTTTCTTTCAGGGACAATTGGCACCCCAGTGTCCTCAATATATAGCTCGCCATTACACAATTTGCAGCTCTCAGATATTGCTGTAGCTCGCACAAGGAGAGCAAGGTCCTACCGCGAATTCTTACAACTTCCAGAGTCGGAAGTTTTCGATAGACTCAGAAGATGTCAAGACGATAGTGACGTTTACTGATCATTGAGCACACCCTATTTCCACTAAAAGTTAGATTTATCCAGGGGATGAGCAATTATCTTCACCATTTTCTAACTGATAAATCTAAATGTACAGAATGAGAATTGATTTTTGGCTTTTCACAGTTGTGCTCGTCGTATGCGATCAATCACGAATTTACTTTCGTATCAACTTAGTGCTGCAAATATAGCGAAAAGCTTGAAAAAGAAAAGGAAAGGTAAGAGAGTGTTCAGAAAAAATTATAAAAAAATGGAGTAAGGCGCTGTCGCTTGTCGTAATGTACATGTATGAGTCTACAAAATATGAAAGAAGACTATGTTATGGGAAGATAAGTGCAGTCATGTTACAAAGGTAAGACTACCAATGATTACCCTTTTGCATATTTGGTAATCTTTCCTGATTGAGAACTTTCACATAGGTGACAAAATTGTCCGATTTTTTAGAATTTTTTAGATATACGCGTTTTTTACAGAGAAACAATCCGAGTTATCTCGCTCACAAAACATTTTGAAACAGTCCACAACGCATCACTCCTTAATTTCCCGTCTGACTTATTCAATCCAGTTGTATATGCATAATACTTCTTTCCTATCTTGAAACATTATTGAAACATTATATAGTAATTATTCTTCCTCCAAAGAAAGCATTTTCTGATGAATCGAAAGATAAGGCAAAAACAAACACGAATGTTGGAAATTGCCTGGAGATGTTTGAAACAAATAAAACGTTTTGAAGAGTTCTCGAAAGATGTTTGAGTGCTCTAGAGGGTTCTGGGATAAACCATTAGGGCAAAAGAGCACTGGTGAAACAAAAAATGCTCTAAAGAATGTTTACTTCCCTCCATTTCCGCGACTATTCAATCAACAACAAAATTTCTCAAGAATTTCTTTTAGCGGGTAGTAATTGCTGCTCAATAGAGCCCAATCATCCAGCACGAGGAAAGATTTCTTGGGTTGTCATTAAGATCGTCTGGTCAAGATCTGATGTCCGTTTCATGGAGTCACAAATTGTTTTCTCTCGATAACAATACGATGTCGCGCGAGTCGAAAAGGCTCGTTAGGAGCTGAAGTGCAGTGACGACAAAAAGCGCTGGGTAGTTTTCAAGGATCGATGAACAAAATGTTTTTGAGAAGAGCAAAGTCTGTTATAAGATTTTAGTTGAAATCTTAAATAAGCAGTAAAGATAAAGACAAACCTTTGCCACTCTCAAAGTCTGGCAAAGCCTCAGTAAAATTTTTGATTTTATTCATTTTATTTTTTGTATCATTCGGATATGCTAGGTCATAACTGCACATCATAGCCTAAAAAATGTCAAAATTCGTCCGCTTTTTACTTCTTAGGAGTGCTGAGAAGTGTAATGACATTGATCAGCTTCTGAGAGGCGCTTGGCTTATAAAGCGCAGCCAATCGCAGCCCACATGGGCGGGGCAGATTGGCGATTGGTTGATCGATCGCCCGCGCCACACCCTCATTCAACATTCGTAACCTCTATAAGCCGGCAAAAGGAATAGTAGACCTTTTCTTAAAGCACTAAAGCTTCGGAGCAAAGCTTACCTAAGCCATTCAGAAATGAGCGTGAAAAAATCTTCGGAAAAATTCGTTATTTTCAATAATTTCTAACACAATAAAGACAAGATTTTCAAATAAGCAAAATCAAATCTACTTCTAATGCTTACCTGTATTTCTCCCGGAATTTCCGCTACAAGCATACGAGCCGATTGTTGAACGGTGGTTTTCGCTACCACATCCACAACCCGTAGCATTAACAGCGTAACATGACTGTAGAGCATGTTGGCTCGGGGCCAAAAGGCGCTGCGCTAAGCAGCGCCTTAACGCTGTTCGATTCGCTTCGAATAGATAGTGAAGTAAAACAGAAAGTAAAGCTTCTAACTGATGTACGAATATGGTAGGGTGGGCAGCTATGAACAGAATTATACACTCCTCCAGTATTTCAGTAGCTGGGCGAGGAGTTAGGACACCTGCAAAAAAAGCAAAAAATAAAAATTAAAAATTACGAGGACCGGAAAAGATAGCAGATTCAATTCAAAAAAAAGGAGCCTTAATACAAACTGATCCCAATGTGACTTGTGCGCGACTATAGTCCATAAGCGCACCTTTGAGTCCAGTGCGCGTTCTGTGACTGCACAATATGCATGTTGATGCACGCGATTGCTACAATTTCCCGTCAAACAAGCGGAAATCAAGCTTTCTGTCTCTACACTTCTAGATCAAACAAAATATTTCACTGAGGGCACTATAGTCCAGAAATTGCAGGAAGCGGGGAGGCAAGCATTTTTTAACGAACGAGAGTTTGTGGATTCGTCGCGCACAAGAGATGTTTCGGGATGCTTCCCATAGTTTCAGTGAGCTCACAACCCAAAATCTCAAAGAAAGGGGCGTGGCGGCAGCCAAACTCCCCTTCCACTCCCCCCTCCCCCCAAGGAATTCCTTGTAAGGCTAGCCATACTTTTGGACGAAATTTTGATTATTTTTTCAACAGCAGAAAAGTCACTTGCATTTGAAACCCATGTAGAATAGTTTACAAATTTTGCATCTCCTAACCCCCCCCCTCCCCCATCTCGGTCCATTACTGCAATTAGGGGAAACTGATTTTTTATATTGATAGTTTATTTTATATGCCAAGTTCACTGTTTGTCCTTGAGCTCAACAGTTTATAAAATCTTTCAATCTGTCAAATAATGAGAAAATTTATACGAAAAAGAATATCGATAGCAAGTTTATCACATTGGAGGAAATAGCAAAGCAGTTTCAATGATTACATGACTGAAAACATTCAAATGACATTTTTCCAAGGAAATTCCCATTTGATGCATGAAAAAGGTAGCCATGGCAGAAGTAGAATCAAAGATATAGCACGTTCTCCGAAGGCTGTGTGTAAATAGTCCACACCTCTTGCACTTTGTGCCCCTTCAAACATTATTTCCTCTGTTTCTTTAACAAGAATTGAGAGATCATGGGGTAAGAGATTCGATTTCAGAACTTCAGTGGCAGTTCAAAAGTTATTCAATTTGGAAGAGTTTCTAGAATCACCATCAAAAAGAAATTTAGGACAGACATTGCCCCAATATAAGTGACTAATCGTTGAAAATATGAACAAACTAGTAACCATTTGTAGTCATGATAATGCTGCAGTGCAATTTTGTGAGATTTTTATTTCATGACTAGTTCAAAGTTTGGCGAAGAACCATGTGAAAGCAAGAGACAAAAATTACAGAAACTGGATAACTAAGAAATGCAAAAAATAATTGCGGATTCAAGATATTATCAGGATTATATTAGGGAGGTTCGAAAGTTCGTGCCGTTTTTTGGACCTATTCTCAAATCATTCAGAATAATGAAAGATAAATAATCTTAGCATTATTTTATGCAGAATTTTTTTCTCTTCTTAGCAGTGCTATGAACCCTTCCGAATAATCGCTACAATCTCCAACTCATGCACTGGTACCCTACCTTATCTATTTTTTAGAATTTTCATTTCTGACTTTTAAAAAAGGTTTGATAGCAATTGGACATAGTAAACAAACTGTTACAAAACTCTATTTTTAGCATCGATAGCTGACTTTCCAGTATTATTAAAAACAAGTTTCCCAAAAGACTTCACTTTGCGAAGTCGTAAAATTATACGTACGAACGCTTCTATGTAATCTTCACAAACTGAAATGTCCAAAAATCGATTATAGTTAGATACTAATTTCAACAAACAAATGAGTTTCTACCGCCTCTGTATTGATTTTTGAAACTTTCAGGTGCAGCCTAGGACGCTTAAAAAACTAGAACTATGGCAATTTTTTCCTCGAGGCTTCTACCAATGAGAAAAAACATCTACCAAAAAGAGGAAAAGAAGCTGCATCGAATGACACTCTAGCTGCTTGCCGTCTGTTCTACTAGGTTTGAGATGAAGAATATCAAATTTGATTACATCAAAATAGTAATTCTATAGAATTTGAAAGCCAGCTATCGATGCCAAAAAAATTGCATTACAGAGTATTTTGTTACTCTATCCAACTGTTGTCGAAACATGTGCAAAAGTCCAGAACGAAACTTTTGACAAATTGACAAAATTTAGGGCAGGCGAAGATTCTCACGATTTTTCAAGCAACATTAAAGGAATTCGAACAAAAACATTACTGCTGGAAAGAGGAAGAATTTCTACATGGAATACTTCTTAAAGTGTTTGTCTATCTTTATTCTGAATGAGTTTAGGATATGTCTAAAAACGGCACGAACCTTCAGACCTCCCTACATACTGGGTATGCAAAGAAAAAATTTTGACGGTTCGTAATAGTATTACAGAATCTGCGTAAATGTAGTTTTTAGAAAGAGTAATTCAAGAAGATTTAGATGGTCAACTTTGTGAAAAATTTTTTTGATGAATGTGAAGAAAAGTGAGATATGCAGATTTGTTAGCCAACCTAATAATATGCGTTAGGCCCTTCAACAGCATGAAACTAAAGCAAAACGCAATATTTACTGTAACTACGAAGGTGATAATTTCTATTTAGAATGGCAAATTACGCTCAAATGTTTCAAATAAATAGATCAGGAATTGCAGAAAAGCAATAAAAATTATACAAATGCTCATAAGATTACATTTTACAGCTGGAGAAATGATAAAGAACAGGAATCTCGAGAAAATTGACATCACACGACATTCTATAGTCTCCGATAATTTTTTCCAAGTTTATTTGCTCTTACTTTCGTTATATACCGCATACTTAAGAACATCAAACAATGGCACTTGGTAACAAAACGAGGCTACAAAATTCATGTATCACCACCTCTAGAAACTACAAGTGTTAACGATTTTTTGGGCTGAAATTCAAGTGAATGTTGTAGAGGCAAAGGCAGCAATGAAGGGATGACGCATAATCAGCAATAGAGAATGAGCAAATCTTGCAAAACTAATCGGCGGCAAAGACAAAAAGTTTGAGGTGAGTGGCTTAATTGTTGGTAGGCTTTTAGGGAAAATGGGAAAGAAACAGCTCAAATGAGTGTACGAAGGGTTAACAAATAAAAATTCGGTGACCCAGTTATACAACATTCAGATATGTAACCTTTGATTTAACTGGCTTGGCGGCTGGAAGGCGGGACTTTGTGTCCTAATTAAGGCCGCTCGCGCTCGCAACCCAGTCTGCGTCTCTGTCGTGCGCGTGCTCTCTGGTCATTATTTGCCTCAATTAGGTCACGAAGCCCCGCCTTTCAGCCGCCAAACCAGAAGAAAAATCAAAGTTTATAGAATTTCTATTCACATAAGTAACCATAAGTTTATAAAAAGCTTCACAAAAGGAAAACATATAAAAAAACAAAGCCGATCACACAATCGCTACCTGTCTTTCACGAAAATTTTGTCTTTGAAATTAACTCCAAAGCTGTTCAAAGAAAACTTAAGATCGGAACCTCACGGAAAATTGCTTTGGAATCAAAGGAGACTTCTAGAATATCAAGCTCGTTCAGTCTGCTAAATCCCTCCTTCAAACATTTTCATTTCGTATAATAACGCTATATACATCAATTTCCGGGTTTTTGGCAAGATAATTGTTTAGAATGCATTTTCATGTCAAAAAACTAAAGTCAATCCAAACATTTCATTTCCACCTTCGCCCTTATCCATGCTCGCTTTTATTCATCAACTCGTACTTCAATGGCAACATTTTTATAACACTAGTAAAAGCCTAGCACAAACTCCTCAAATGCTATGGAAACAAGTGTAGTTGAGCAAAAACGCGCAAAACACCATCAATTTGGTCAAAAAGCAAAATTCAAGTTAATTGCTTATTTAAGGGTGCTTTGAGATTTAAAATACAGCTGCGCTAATCGGAATAAACATGCAAAGATGAAGGATCGAAGTGAATGAGTCAGCCAAAAACACATATTCATTCAAATTCTAGGAAATAGCATTTGAACTTCCACACATGCGAAAAGCATGAAATGCAAGGTTATGTAAACTTAAAAAAGCCCTAAACGTACGCCTGAACACATCGTAAAGCCATCAAATGTGTTCCAGACCCTCAAAGATATCCAGAAGCTTCCAATGTGCCTAACCAATGCTTACTCAGGCAGTTCACCGGAACTTGCGCGCAACAAGCAAAGCAGCGGTTCCGCAGGATTTACTATTGCAAAAGTGGAAACGTTGGAAATAGGAATTTCAGGATTTCACGCCAGACTGGCTGAAAATGGGAACTTCTGCAGGATTTGTTACAAAGCGCTGCGGAACTTCCGAAAAATGCCAGCAGTTCCGCAGCACTTTGACATGTCAGTACTTCCGCAGGCTTTCGAATGTGTTGTCTCTTACGAGGTGCTCACCAACAACTAGAGTGGCTTGCCGAACAAGTCATCCGTAGTACAGATAGAGGATAGTAAGTAGTCATTGCGGTCAATAAAGTAAGGTTTACATCTCGCTTAGGTGTTCTCTTGAGCTGTTGTGGTTCTTCAGAACTTCCACAGCACCTCGTTTGGGAACTTCCGCAGCACGTTCATGGAGCTTCCGCAAGTGACCCGGCGAAATTTCCCAGATGTTCTGTTGCCGGTCAGTTTGAGTAGTTTTGATTTTCGACTCCCAACCAACCCCTAGAAAAATTTGGCCGCTCTTATCCTACTATTAGCTAGAACTCAAAAAACACAAGCTTTCAATTTGCTGCAAGGAACGAAAGCAAGTCGAACTGAAACTACAATGACTCAAAAAGACTAATGATGCTCTTGTTTGGCGGTCCGTCCATATAATCGGAAAACTCATACTATTAGGCCTCCTATGATTGTTTTCCACTATGAGTTTTGCCTCAATTTTAGTTCTTTCGTTCCGGAGCCTGAGCCCTGCTCAGCTAACAAGACCAGATATTGATTGTGGTAAGAATTAAATCTAGATAAACTATTAAACTGAATTCAAATGCAG